CCTATTTTTTAGAAGAATTTTTGAAAATTTTGCAAAGTACATATAGTTGACAAATATTTATTTATAAAACTGTAAAGGCCTGGTGATACACTTCTACTGAATCTTAAGACATACTTCACAGCAAAAAGAAGTCTTCCTCCTAAATTGAGTTTTTCCTTCCTTATTACTGTGGTCAAGACAATTCTAGACAGTTGACATTTTCCTCCTACTTCCAGGTCATACTATGAAGAGTTCAGTGCTGATAACTTTTTATGTAAGTGGGGCAAAAATATGATGAATGTTTTCTTAGTACATGTTAAATAATTCCAACCTTGAAACCAAAATTTGAACTAGTTAGTTTGTAAAGGGCTCTCTTGTTCAAAGGTAGACAATACCATACTTTTGGTTTTCATCACGTTGTGTTTCTTGAGGTAAGTGTAGATTTGACAGTTTCTTTTCAACTCTCTGGATAGAAGTATTCAAAGATACTTGCATTTGAGCTATCTTTTTAGCATAAAATGAATGTAAATGTATTCTGAAATTCTGCTTTATCAGTGCATAGCCATGGACCCTCATGGGCCCAAAACCTATGGAACAAATGTTTAATAAAAGCAGAAATCACCTTACATATTCCCAGAGTGAAGTTAAGATCTGAAGAAATGTGGGGGAATTCATCAGCATATGAGAGGCATTTAACCCATGTGATATTGATTCATTTATTCAGTCAAGAAAAAGTTAAGTTCTTGCTATATACTGAGGATTCAGTATTCAGTAAATCAAACTAATAAATACCCTCAGCCTGTTGAGAAGCAACAGACTACTAAAGTGGGGCTTATATGAAATGCACTAAATTGGTGGTGAGTGCTATGGAGAGAAATAAAGCAAGAGAAGGGGAAGAAACAATGTTTATGTGGGAGTAGAGTCTGAAATCAGACTTGGTCACTGGAATCCTCACCGTAGTGACATGCGGTTAACACCTGACGCTGGGGGACCAAACCAGGCAGGTACCTGAGGAAGGATCTCCAGGACAGGGGAAATGGGAAGCGAACACCCCCAGCTGGAAGCTCTTCTGATGGGAGAGCTAGCACAAAGGCAGGTGGGGCTTTGAGCAAAGGAGGGACACGATTTAACATGTTTTATTGTGTTCCCTGGGACAGAATTATGGAAAACTGATAACAAATGTACTCTGCTGAGGTTCTCCTCTAATAAGGTTTGGTTTTCTTTGTAGGACAGAATTCTGCCCAGCCTGTCTTCTGTTTTTGCCTCACTGCTAACTGACAGGAATTGGCTACTAGAACAACATTCCTTGGAGGCATTTACTCAGTTTGCTGAGGTAATTAATTAGAAGGCCAGTCTATCACAGTGACCTCTAAAACATTTTCTGATTTTGCAAAATATTTCAAAAACATGTATAGAGCTGCTTTTTGTATCTTAGCCATAAAATTTCTGGAGGTGATATTACTAGCCTTCTGTTTTACAGGATCTAAAAATGAAGGCCAGAGAAGGGAAGTGATTTTCCTAAGGTCCTCAGTAGTAATGATCAGAACAGGTATTCAGACCAGGTGTCCTAATTCAGATGCTATTTGGGGTTGAATGATAATATATTTCATCTCCACCTTTCATGGGAGCTAAGTTGATGAACACAGACCTGTTAGCTTTGTAGAGAAGGCGACTCTGCCCTGGGCTGCTTTTACTCTAACCCGCCATTGTGTAATCCTGCCCTTTATCTTAATGGGGCCCAAAAATGTTGGGATGACTGGGCAGAAATCATTACAGCTCACAACTTTATACTTCTGCAGTCTCAAATAACCATGAGCTTATTATTTTTTGAGCGATTTTTCTTTGAAAGTTTCATTTTTAATTAAAGTAGCTCTTAAAATTGTGTATTTCTTTTTGCAAGTTATTAAAATGTACTGAAATTAGTTTTATCAATCTTTTAATAGGGAACAACTCATGAAGAGATAGTTCCACAATGTCTCAGTTCTGAAGAAACAAAGAAAAAAGTTGTATCCTTTTTGGAGAAGGTATTTTATTTATATAGCATCCAAGTAGCAGTACAAATTTTGTTATCATGTTACTTTTTAAAAAATTATTGCCAGGTTGAATATCCTGTTAGCTTATTAGGCAGTTGGGACCTCACTGCAAGTCAGAAGTGAAACACTTGGGTCACTCTGGCTGTAGTCTGGGGTACTGCAGCATTGATCATCCAGGCCCAGAGATGAAGAATGTGGATCCCGCACCAGTAACCCACCATCATTAGACTCACACGTGGAACTGTAGGCCCAAGAGGGTCATATTCACCACCATAATCCAATCAGGGCTTTTCCAAATAGTGGCTCCCACATTTGTGTGAGCTTTGAAACTTATATGGGGACAGTGGTAGGATGTAAGTCAAAGGTTAACTGAAACACTAATAGAACAGTTAAACCACAATTTAGAATACTATGATAATTATACTTAAGTACTTAATTTTCTTAAGAATATCTCACTGAAGTGGGCTATGTCTCTTTTTCATATATATATATGCATATATTACATATAAGCTGGATGTAAGTAAGTGTGTGTACATGTTTCTTTTAAAAATTTCTCACCCTATTCAGTAAAGGCTAGCAGATGATCTTTTTTTTTTTTTTTTCCTGTAGGGAAGGTGTACACTGTAAAACATTTTTACCTGAATCACACTGAGGATAATTTTTCAGATGAGTCGAACTTACTTCCAGAATTGGCTTAGTTCACAAGCTGGGCCTTGTAGTTAAACATTCGGCACTTAATACACACAGGTCTTTTCAGTTTCTGAGCATCACACCATTTTGATATTGAGTTGAGAGCACTGATGTTGGTATTTACTTGGTTCTTCATGATCTCTGGCAGACAGGGTTTGTAGATGAAACTACAGCTGCGAGAGTGGAACGTATCAAACAGGAAAAAGGGACTTTCTGGGAGCCTTTTGCTAAAGTTACTCAAGAAGAAACAAAGATGTCATCTTTACAGGTATGGACTGCTCTTCAGTGTGGATCAAGCTTTAATAAAAAATTTGCTTTATTACTTATAAAAGAAGAACAGAAACTAGCGTGGTTCTTTGCCTCATACAGAATAGACATGTGAAATTGTTTTATGGTAGCTGCTCTTTTAAAAATCACATTTCTTCTTTCTGGAAGGCCAACACATAGAACAGAGGTGGGACTCTAAAAAGTTTTAAACATCATACTGAATATACCTTTAATATAACTTTCAATTATTTGCAGTAATCTTTGGAAAAGTTAAGTCTTTGTACCAGTGATGCTACAAATGCAGTAGTTTCTGAACCACAGATGAAAACTAATTAACATACCTTCTTAAATGTTTAGTGTGATCCTTTGCCTCATTCATCACAGTCCAGAAATTACATCTACCAAAAGGCAGAAATCTGACACTTTGAAGGATATTCAAAATTGTTTGAGCACTAATAGTATATTTAGAATGTCAATCCATAATGGTAAATATGTTACAACTCTTAAAAACCTAATAATTGGTTTTCAAGACATGTTAACTTTTATGCCTTAAATCTACAAAGTTAAATATATCAGTAGTGTAAATAAGCCCTAAAGAATTTATATATTATGACCATCTTTAGGAAGACAATGATTTTAAAAACTGTATGGCTCTAACCTTTCATCCTCCTTCTGGGACAGTGAAAGCATCATTATTAACTTAGCATGAAAAAAGGCTTTTTAAAAAATTCATAGTTGGGGCTTTTTTTGTAAGGACAGATTATATGGCTAAATAACACTCACTTGAAGAGGCAGCACCTCTTCGTTTCCTTGGACCCTGAGCATCAGTTGTGGTAGCACCCTGAATCCCTGTTGCAAATCAACACTGTCTTCGTGTCTCTCTCCAGATGAATGCGGGGGTAGGGGTCTCCTGCCCTTGTGAACCAATGACTAGAATAAAATTTTCATATAAAACTTTACAGTTTTAGAATTTGTCCTTGTAAGCTTTAGTCCAAAAGGAAAGTTCTATTTGGAACAGGGATCCTGGCATTACATGTTTTTCTCATTTGCCAGCCTTGTGTGAAAAGAGCCCGTCACGACCTCCCCTCGGAAGATGAGTACAGGTCAACACTGCAAGCAGCAACAGCAGCCTTGGAGGCGATCGAATTATTACTCCAGAAGTCTCCTCCTCCAGACTGGCTCCTGATGGAAATGGAGACACTTCAGGAAAGGATTGATAAGCTAAAACGTCAGGTACCCTAAAGTGAGGAGTTAGTGGACTAGACCACTTTGTCAATTAGGTAAATGAGTCGAATATGATTTTTTTGTTACTCTATAGTACATTTTGTAAATGAAAATATTGACATCTGTACATGGTCTAACACATAAAACTTTTCTGAAGTTGAATTTAGTGAAAATAAGTCTTTATTTATTGGACATTTAGAGAGCAGGATTGTGGGGGATATTTCTCATTAAGGACTTTGGTACAAGGTAATACAGGTGGAACAGTCGGTAACTGCCCAGGTCTCCATAGGGCCACTCACTCAGATAGTACCTGTGTAAACAAATAAATAAGCTGCCTAAAGAAACCTTAGCAATTTAAAATCATTTATATACTTTATAGCTAAAAGTTTTTCAATAAGTTGTATTCCATAATAGAGTTTACTCTTCTGACAAAGAAATGGCACAGAATTAAGCTAATCAGCCTGAATTTTTGTATTTATTTTCTTTACTTCCAGAATTGCTCTGGAAGAAAGCAGTAAGTTCCACCTTTCCACAGCCACTTGCTCTTCACAGAAACTGGCCTCCGTCAGACGCACAGGCTCTTCCTCTGAGAAGGGCTGTGAACCTCTGCACTGCCCAGGGCTCTCCGCCAGCAAGCCAGGTCTCCTTTCACTTCCATTGGCAGACTGGAAAAAGAGCTCCTGACATGAGAAAAACAGGATGCTTTGGGGCTTTCTCATCTGCAGTGCCTGCTTCTGAGGTATTAGTTTGATTTTTTTGTTTCTTTTAAAGAAATCCTTTTTCCTGAAAAGTGACTTGCAGCCACTGTCACCAGCTGTTATCGTCCCAGTTCAGCTCACCATCTTCCCCCCAGCCTGCAGACTCTCCCTGCAATGAGAGAGATCGGGGATTTAAAAGGGGCCCAACAAATACATTTCTTCAAACTAAGTAAAATAATTTACTATAACAGAAATGTGAATTCTGTGGTTCTGCTATTACAAAATCACAGCATTAAAAAATAACTTTCACAAGGACTATTTATTAATACATTTTCCTGGGGAAGAAAAGATGCCATTGACAGGAATTGATTTTGTTCACTTTCTGATTATGTTAATAAACCAGCTGTGGACATCAGTCTTCTCTCACTGGGAAAGAGTGTATTTTGTTTTTATATATATAAATGGGACAGTATAGCTGCTGCCTGTGAGGGAAATATGTAAAGTAGTAACACAATTTAATAATCCTCACCTCAGTAATTTCTGCTGCAGCAAATTTTGAGGAAAAGTGCATCACTGGTGAGACATTATCCTTGTTGGGAACCACTGTTTCTGTCCTCAGTTCAGGCAAAATAAGAATAGCAGCTGAAGGCTTAATTTCTGGGATCATATCAGCAAACCAGTCCAACTCTGGGTCTTTTACTGGCTTCTTTTTTACCTGAATGGTAAACTCCTCTCCTAAACCCAGTTCTGATGGAACTTTAAGGCGCCTTTCTTGTGACAACACTTTCGGTGGCTTGGTTTGGTCTGGGTCATCCCTGCTTTGTATAAGACTGGTCTTTTGGGGTAGGCTTGATTTCGAAGGCAAAGCAGGAGTGGCCTTTTGCTCCCCTGAGGTAACAGGTCTTGTGGCCATCATTACACCTTCCAGATTTACTTCGGTATCTAAGCTGCCGGGCTCAAAGTCATCCCAAGGCTCCTCCTCCGCATTCAGGTTAGTGAGCGGGGACTGGGCAGCTGCGTGGGGATCTGCCGGACAAACCTCTATGTTGACAGTTTTGTTCTCAGGCTCCTCAGGCTCACTCCAGTCAGGCCACTCCTCAGACTTTTTAGAACTTGATGGGAACTTTCCACTGTCTCCTGAGGTAATTTTCACATTGGAGATGCCATTGATGGGAAATTTGATAGGCTGAGAAAATTGATCGCCTGTGGGGGATATGTACAAGAGTTATTCTTATAAAATGTTGGTTAAGACATGCAATATATTTAGGAGAAAGTTAACACTGAAGAAATGTATAGACTCAATTCCTTGGAAATAACCCATGTGCACTGAACTGTGAGATAGCAGAACATAAACCAACAAAGATACAAGTTAAACAAATACTTAAGTTATGATAAAAGTTAAACAAATGTAATTTGATGGGCACATACCAAGCAACAATTAACTGGAGCACCTAATCCTTTACTAATATTCAAACATACTATTTATCTATAACAAATACAAAAATGTTCTAGCCAGGCACTAATACCCTCAAGATGTTAACTGTGTACACCTTGAGAAAGTGTATGCTCAAGCAGGCCGCCTCACTTTAACATATCCTCATTCTAAATAGATTTTCACAAGCATAGTCAAGTCATGAAGTCCTTTGTAGTATGGTCTGACTGTGTGCTTAATTCCGAAAACTTATTTAATCACAGAACTCCTCTTTCATGGTACACCTGATAACATCTTCCAGAACTATCATACTTTGATATAATTTGGAGAAAGTCCCCAAAGTGAAGTATCTGGTGCAAAAAAGAATTCAAGCAATGTATCCACCAGTTATGAAGAAAAGACAAGTATTTACCCTATAGTCCAGGGAAAACAGATGCACCCAAGCTGACTACATAATTGTAAATAATAAGAGAATTAAGTCTCAATAGTCCCAAAGTGCCCTTTAGTTTCAGAATTTTAATTACTCAGGAAAACATTCACCAAGCAGTGGAACAGCTATATAAATTTAATAAATCTACCTGTCTGTAGAAGAGTACTGTAGTAATCTTGTGGTATGTGCTTCTTGCTGTCGATGGGCACATTGTCAGAAAAACATTTAGGGAACATGCCAGGGGAGGGGTTCTTCAAGACTGGCAAGCTCTGACTGCGCTGGCTGCAGGTGACATGCACAGGAGAATCTGAAGATGAATAAAAACTCCAAAAAATGAAAGAGTAGTAAATTGCTTCTTTTCCTATCACGTTAGGTGAGCGACAGTTAACAGGAGGGGGGTATATTAAACGCAGATAAAAGATAACTTGCTGGGAGAGGACATCTCCAAATATTTGGAGAGACACACCTACTATGGAAGTGTCCACATGGTGGGAAACCAAGGATTCAAGCATTAGGTAAGCATTTGGAATAGAGAGAGAAAACCTTTAAGACACCTAGTTATAAAAGTTAACAGCCTTTAAAAACATCTCAGTGGTGATTTAAAACTGTACTTGATTCTACTTTCCTTTTAAGAATAAAGAGTACAAGCACACGAATATGAATGTACTTAATGCCACAAAACTGTACACTTTAAAATGTTTAAAAGGGTAAATTTTGTGTTATGGATATTTAACTCCCAACTGGAAAAAGAAAAATGTTTTAAGAAAATGTAGTCTTTAGCACCTTTTAGAAAGTTCATATTCAAGAATGAGTAGTAGTCAAAAGGATCCTAGCAAAATTTTTGATTACTTTGCCTGTCTTAGGAAAATGAGGGGGTGGTCTGGGCTGAGTCATCATAGGCCACACCTCCCCTCCTCACCCCAGTCTGATCTGTGCAAGTCCACCACCCTCTCGCTTATTTCTGCCACCGTCTTCCCTGCTGAAACCTACTAATTTTTCATATAAATTGTCTCCTTCTCTACATGTCTTCCCTAAATCTGTTCATGCAGACTTATTTCCCTCAGGTACGTTTTTCATAAACCCTAGTATCAGCCTTCATAAGTCTGATCATGCAGGTAAACTATAAGAACAGAAGGAAAAAAAAAAAAAAGTACCTCTTTTATACACACCCCTCTTCCAGCAGCCCCTCTGTCCTATAGGACAAGGGCCTCTCTACCATAAATCTGGAATACAAGCTGCCACCAGGGTCTCAGCCATCCTGGATGAAGAGTCTAACATGGCAAGTCAGTGGGATTCAAGTTTTCAGGAAAATCTATTTTAATAAAAACTTATCTGCTATTGATGCTTTGGTGCCCTTTTCTGTTTCCTATTTAGATTACAGAGTGATCCAAATGGAGAGTATGTAAAATATCTAGAACCAGAAAACCCCATCCAATAAACAAAGTTGTTGGGAGTGGGGACTTTTGTTAATTCAACATGTAAAGTTGTCCCTAGAGACTGACCCCTAAACCTTTTCTCACAACTATGCATATCCTCTCCTCTGGCCAGAAATTCCTCCAGTATGAAAATACAAACCCGTCACCTGCTCGTTGTGTGCTCTGCTAAAAGAAAAACTGCTAGCAATAGACCTCACTCAGTTTGGTGTACATGTCTCATGGCTGAAGAGGTGGCGACAGTTTGTACATCACCCTCTTCAAGCTCCTCAGAGTCTCTCTAACACTGACTCAGGAGCACTGAGGAAGTCAATGTTGCTTTAAAAATCCTCTTGGCAGCAAAATTAGAGAAAAGTCTGGCAGCTCTTTATTACTAATAACTGTTTCTATGCTCTCTACTCACTATCACTGAGAACTGAATCAGACTTAGAGCTTTATAACATGGCCATCATCCTTCAGGATTATACAAAGGAGCAAAGAAGCAATGGTGCCGTCAATACAAAATTCTTATTCTTGACTTCTATAGCCTATAAAGACCAGAAATTGCTGCTACTTCCCAGGTAATATTTCAATGGGAACATCAGAATTAAGGATTTTTTTTCTCTTGATTTCCTTCAGTAACTAAAAATGAATAGCTTGTCACCTAACAGGCCATCAAAATCAAAAGAACTTAAAACATTTGGTATTACTAAGAGCTGCTCCAGCCTTTTTCAAAACTGAAACTATTAAGATGTAAAATATTCTATATATTCTTTGACTCAGTAAGAAATTCAGAAAGGAGTGCAACAGCCATCAACAGGGAGGGAAGTCACTGAGTGAATTATAGTCAATGAAATATTAGGCAGCTATCAATAAAACAAATTATTAGGTAGTTATGTATTGACCTGGAGACAGGTCCCTGATAAGTTGTTACATGAAAAAAATCAAGTTGTGGAACTGTGCATAGTATTTTTTTTAAAATCCTATGTGTGTGAAAATACATTTGTGTCTTTGTAGGCTTGCAAAAAAGGATGAAAGAATTCCCATTAAACCATTAAAATTGGTTACCTTAGATGCCCCAGAAGGAGGTGAAAGGGAAATTAACTTTTTCCTTTTAATTCATGTATCATTTGAATATAATCTATCTGTGTTACTTGTATAATGTTTAAAATCTAATAAAACAATAACACTGGACCTTTTAATCACTCTTACCTTCTGGGGAAAGGTCCACAGTTTTAGTAAAGCTTGGGGCAGTGCGTTTGAAGATCTTGGTTCTCTCTCCTCCCACAACCACCTCTGGTCCAAGTAGCGAGACCAACACTGCCAGGCTGTGAAGAGTAATGGCCACGATGGAGTCGCTGGTATCACGCAGGCCCAGTAAAACCTAGGAGTAAATTGGGTAGTAAGTTACACAACCATATTGCCTGTCTCTTCTCCCTTTCCCCCCAACCCCAACAAGTAGTTGAGCTGAATCAGACTATGTTTGTTCAAGTGAACTTCATTTCTTAGATGTGTTCTAGGTCATAGCTCTCTACATATTTGTGGTCAAGGACCAATATTTTCCCTTCCCAATCCAGCACACCCTGATACTTTTTTGAAGATGCAATAAAAATGAAGTCAAATACATACATGAGAAATGTATTAGAAATAAGGTTACTCTGTTAAGTTGCTATAAAAGTTTTTAGATCATGATGCCTGTCGGCTCTTGCCTCCAGGCCACCGCCACAGAGTCCTCCTGTGGCTCAACCCTTTCAAGTCTACAGCACCAAGTATTCCCAGGTGGTCTCCCATTCCAGTAAAACCAGGCCCGACCCTGCCTAGCATCTGAGCTCAGATGAGATGGATGCATTCAGAGTGGTAAGGCTGTAGACAGTTCCGCAAGTTCTTGGCAAATCTGAATACTCCAACCAAAAGACAGAGTTGCTGAATGGATTAAAAAAAAAAAAAAAAACAAGACTCATCTGTATGACGCCATAAGAGACTTCTCATGTAAGGACATAACATAGATTGAAAGTGAAGGAACAGAAAAAGATGTTTCATGCAAATGAAAACCAAAAGAAATCTAGGGAAGCTATACTTAGACAAGACAAAATAAACTTTAAACCAAGTTTTGGAGGGGGGCTCCAAAATCACTGCAGATATTGACTACAGCCATGAAATTAAAAGATGCTTGCTCCTTGGGCAACAAAGGTCTGTCTAGTCAAAGCTATGGTTTTTCCAGTAGTCATGTATGGATGTGAGAGTTAGACTATAACGAAAGCTGAGTGCTTTAGAATTGATGCTTTTGAACTGTGGTGTTGGAGAAGACTCTTGAGAGTCCCGTGGACTGCAAGGAGATCCAACCAATCCATAGGGAAATCAGTCCTGAATATTCATTAGAAGGACTGATGCTGAAGCTGAAGCTCCAATACTTTTGGCCACCTAATTCAAAGAACTGACTCACTGGAAAAGACCCTGATGCTGGGAAAGATTGAAGGTGGGAAGAGAAGGGGACGACAGAGGATGAGATGGCTGGATGACATCACCAACTCGATGGACATGAGTTTGAGCAAGCTCTGGGAGTTAGTGATGGACAGGGAAGCCTGGTGTGCTGCAGTCCATGGGGTCCTGAAGAGTCGGACATGAGTGTGCAACTGAGCTGAACTGTATATCCCTGATGAATGTAAGATGCCAAAATCCTCAACAAAATTAGAAAACAAATTCAACAATACATTAAAAGGATCAGATACCACAATCAAGTGGAATTTTTTTCTAGTGATGCCAGGATGGTGGAACATCCACACATCAATGTAATACATTACATTGACAAAATGAAGGATAAAAATCATATGATCATCTCAATGAACACAAAAAGTATCTGACAAAATTCAACATCTATGATAAAAACTCTCAACAAACTGGATATAGAGGAAACATACCTCAATATAATAAAGGCCATATACGACAAGCCTACACTTAACATTACACTGAAAAGCCAAACGTCTTCCCTCTGACATGAGGAACAAATCAAGGATGCCTACTGTTGCCAACAGAGTGTTGGAAAACCCTAGCCACAGCAATTAAGCAAGGGGGGTTGGGGGGTGAAGACATTTAAATCAGAAAATAAGAAGTATTATAAAACTATACACAATATACAGAAATCTGTAGCATTTCTATACACTAATAATGGACTGTCAGAAAAAGAAAAAATCCCATTTACAGTTGCATCAAAGAAAATACATAGAAATAAATTTAACCAAGGAAGTGGAAGACCTCTGCACTGAAAACTACAGGACACTGATGAAAGACACCGAAGAAGACATAAATAAATGGAAAGATATTCTGTGTCATGGATTGGAAGAATTAATATTGTTAATAAACTGCCCATAGTTCCCTAAGCAATCTACAGACCCAATGCAACCCCTATCAAAATTCCAATGACATTATTCACAGAACTAGAATAAACAATCCTAAAATTTGTATGAAACCACAAAAGACTGAATAGCCAAAGCAACCTTCAGAAAGAAGAACAAAGCTGGAAGCCTCACGCTCCTTGATTTCAAACCATATTACAAAGCTACAGTAAAATAGTATAGCATTGGCATAAAACAGACACATAGATCAGTGGAACAAAATAGCCTAGAAATAAACCTGTACATATATGGTCAGTTAGTTTATGACAGAAATAGCCAAGAATACACAATGCAGAAAGGACAGTCTATTTCAATAAAGTGTTGAGAAAACTGGACAACTGTTTTATAACACATTAATTTAAAATGGATTAAGGACGTAAATGTAAGACCTGAAATAACAGAACTAGAAAAAAATACAGGCAGTAAGCTTTTTGACACCAGCCTTGGTGATGAGTTTTGGATCTGACACCAAAAGCAAAGGTTACAAAATCCAAAACAGAGAAGTGGGACTACATCAAACTAAACAGCTTCTGCGCATCACTAAACATCAGAGAAATACAAATCAAAACCACAATGAGATAGCACTGCATACCTGTTAGAAAGACTATTATCAAGAAGACAAGAATCAAGGGATGGTGAGGATGTGGAGCAAAGGGAACCCTTGTGTGCTGCTGGTGGGAATTTTCCTAATGGGTACGGCCAGTATGGCAAACAGTATAGAGATTCATCAAATTAAAAATGGGATGACCATACCATCCAGTGATTCTACTTCTGGGTGTTTATTTGAGGAAAAACCTTACTAACTCAAAAAGGCATATGCACTCCCATATTCACTGCTGGATTATTTACATCCAAGTATCGATGAATGAATGGATAAAGAAAATGTAGTATGCACACAGGAAGATTATTCAGCCATACAAAAAGAATAAAATCTTGCCATTTGCAACAACATGGATGGAACTGGAGGGCATTATGCTATGCTAAGAGGAATAAATGAGACACAGAAAGACAAATGCTCACTTATATGTGTGTGTGTGTGTGGTGGGGGAGGTGGGTTAGAGGACAAACAAAAAAAAACAACACAGATACAGAGAACAGATTAGTGGTTGCCAGGTGGAAGTGAGCAGGTAGAGAGGAAATAAAATGGGTCAAGAGGTATATACTACATTATGAAATAAAAAGGTCATGGAGATATAATGTACAGCATAGTGACTATAGGTTGTAATACTGTATTGTGTATTTCAAAGTCACAAAGGATATTTTTTAAAGTTTCATCATGAGAAATTTCATAACTGTATGGTGACACATGGTAACTAAGCTTATTGTGATCATCTGCAATATATACACATATCAAATCATTTTCCTGTATTCCTGAAACTACATGTCCATAATGTACTTCAGTTAAAAAAAAAGATTTTAAATGTTAATTTTCCGTATCTGTACTCAGCTCAATGTGGCAGAACCATAACAAACAGTTCATGGACAGGCAGTGTTCTTCAGGGCATACTTGAAACACTCATCTTGGTCACTAAGAGCTGTGTCCTTCACCTCTTAGCTTAATACACAAGAACAGGACTGTGAAAACTTTCTTTATATCTGATGCATATAACACCTATCCCAAACTGAGCCAATTATGATCTCTTTCCCAGTAATAAAAACTGGAATTTAGAGAAACTGGTTATCTCTGGTTTGCTTAAAAGGAGGACAGTAAACTTGGAAACTACGGGGCAACTACGCTTGGCCACCTGTATACCAAATAACAAAAGCTGGTCTTCAAAAGTCAAATGTGAATGGATGTAAAGAGAAAGGAAAGGAATGAAGACCATATGGCTGAGTCCCAGCTGCACTTGATTTCCCTCTTAGGTAGACTGACATCCTTTGATTAAAGTCTCTCTTTTGGGCTTTAGCCCATTTAAGTGGGTTTCAGTTACTTGCAACCAGAAGAACTTTGATTAAGACATTCACATGGAGCTATCAGGAGAGGTTTTGCTCTGAATTGCCAAACACGTATAGAAGAAAGACAGAGGCAAAGCGTCTGCACCAGTCAGATACAAGGCCAGGATGACTGGACTGCCTGGTAGAGAGGGCATCACGGGTTCAGGAATCCTGGGTTCTGGTTCAGTCTCTGCTGGGAATTCTCAATATGACTTAGCCAATTAATCGTTTCATTTTTCTGGTCCAGTTTCCTCATTTACCTAAGATAAAGGTTTCCAACAGGACTCAATAAAGAAGTATCAGGTCCAATGCTAACAAACGAGGCACTGTCTCAAAACACAGCTGTACATGTAAACTAAATCATGGCTAGAATTGTCAGCTAATTATGGTAATCGTAAGAAACCACCCGAGCCAAAAACCCAACAGTCACCCTCAAAACTCTCCCATCTAGTGAAAAACTGAGTCCTCCCCCAGCTACCCTTAACCACTGCCACCACGTTTCCCCCAGTCCTTGGCATCTCTTAGCAGGACTATTCTAATAATGTCCTCACTGAGCCTCCTTGCTATAGTCCATCTTCCATACTGCCAAGTGAACATTAGAAATCAGCTAAGTTATTCCTCTACAGGGCAAGTAACTCCACTGAGAGTTTTCATTGCTTTTCACGTGCTGATTATCTACTTGTTAACAGGCTGGTGCAAAAGTAATCACAGGTTTGCACTGTTGAACTTTTCCGTTTGATACTGGAATATATTCTTAAATAAATGTGGTTATGTCACACATCATTTTGATGCACATTTCTTGCTTTATTTTTTTTTGCTAATTATTATTACTTGTTGTTTATATGTATTTTAGACTATGGAAATGATGTTAGACACAAAAGCAAATTTGAGCGATTTTCTTATTTGAGTTCAAAACGGGTCAAGAAGCAAGAGACAACTCGCAACATCAACAAATGCATTTGGCCCAGGAACTGCTAACAAATGTACAGTGCAGTGGTGGTTCGAGAAGTTCTGTACAGGAGACGAGTCTTAATGATGAGGAGCATAGTGGCCACCCATAGGAAGTTGACAACAATGAACTGAGAGCATCATTGAAGGTGATCCTCTTACAACTACACAACAAGTTGCCCAAGAACTCAACGTCCATCAATCTACAGTCCTTCGGCATTTGAAGCAAACTGGAAAGGTGAAAAAGCTTGATAAGTGGGTGCCTCATGAGCTGACTGAAAATCAAAAAAATTGTCATTTTGAAGTGCTATCTTCTCTTATCCTATCCAACAACAATGAATCATTTCTCAATTGGACTGTGATGTGCAACGTAAAGTGGATTTTATAGGACAACCAGAGAAGACCAGCTCAGTGGCTGGACTGAGTAGAAGCTCCAAAACACTTCCCAAAGTCAAACTTACATCAAAAAAGGGGTCATGGTTACTGTTTGGTGGTCTGCTGGTAGCCTGACCCACTACAGCTTTCTGAATCCCAGCAAAAATCAAAATCTGAGAAGTATGCTCAGCAAACTGATAAGGTGCAATGAAAACAACACCTGCAGCTGGCACCGGTCAACAGACTGGGCCCAATTCTCTGCAACAATGCTCAACCACACATACAATCAACGCTTCTAAAGCTGAATGAACTGGACCACAAAGTTTTGCCTCACCTGACCTCTCACCAACCGACTAGCATTCTTCAAGCACCTCGGCAACCTTTTTGCAGAGAAAATGTTTCCCCAACCAGCAGGACACAGAAAATGCTTTCCAAGAGTTCGCTGAATCCTGAAGCACAGATTTTTTTGCTACAGGAATTAACAAACTTATTTCTTACTGGCAAAAATGTGTTGACTGTAACGGTTCCTATTTTTATTAATATAGATGTGTTTGAGCCTAGTTACAATGATTTAAAATTCAGAGTCTGAAAGCACTATTACTTTTCCAAAAACCTAATACTGATCTCAGCTCAGTGCCAATTCTGAGACCTATGACAGGACCTCTGTTTCAGAGTTAGAGTGCTTCATTCCTCTTCTACATTCTCAGACACAAAACAACTGCAGGTAGAGTGAACTATTGTTACAGATGTAAACACAAAGTCCTATGCTAGAGTAACTAGGCTGTAAAGCCAGCCCCCAGTGAACCACACCCCCAGTATCCTTGGCCTTGTATAAACCCACCCCACCGTGAACCTGGCCTGACTTATGTGACTCACTTCAATCAAGAGAATGTGACTGAAGAGATATGGTCAGTTCCCAATCTATGCCTTAGGAAGGCTGCTTGGGCTCTTGTGGTCACCTTGGGCAGCCATGTAAGATGTCCACCAACCCTGCTAGGGAAATCATGTGGAGATGTCACATGGGGGAACAAGGGCCCTGAGATGTCCAGAGACTTTGTGGAGAGAGTGCCCCAGGTAAGCCTGGCTTTTCCGCCCTCCCCTCCGAGGTGCCAAGGAGCTGTGTGTATGTGTTCTGGGCCCCAGATGACTGCTGCCTCCACTGACATGTGGAACAACAGAACCCCAAGCTGAGCTCAATGAATCCAAAGAATTATGAGAATTAATGAAGTGTCATGGGACTTCCCTGGTGGTCCAGTGATTAAGAATCCGCTGTGCAATGCAGGGGACACAGGTTTGACCTCTGGTTGGAGAACTAAGATCGCACATGCCGTGGGGCAACCGAGTGCACACCACAACTACAGTGCCCTCGTGCTGCAACTGAGACCCAACGCAGCCAAATAAATCAGGAAGTAAATACATCAAATGACTGCCATGTTAAGATACTAAGTAGTTTTGGGACAGTTTGCTACACAGATAACAAATATTCATCATCTCCCATCTTCTCACTTCTTGAAAGCAGGGAGTGTGTTACACACCTCTATGGCCCCAGTACTTAGGCACAAGAACTGGCCTAAAACCAGGACTTATCATCTTTAAATAAATTAATCTCATAGAAAAACAGGCAAAATCTTTCCAAATCTCATAGTGAGTTGAACAGTGTCTCCCCAAAATTCATGCCCACCCAGAAACGTGACCTTAAATGAGGTCATACTGTGTTACAGTGGACCTTAAATCCAATGACCAGTGTCCTTATAAGAAAGCCATGTGCCAACAAAAGCAGAAACTGAAGAAACACAGTGACAAGCCAAGAAACACCAAAGGGCTACCAGAAGCTGGGAGGAGGGCAAGGAAGGACTCTCCCCCAGCGCCTTCAGAGGGGGCCCGGTGGACACCCTTATTGAGGATTTCTGGCCTCCAGAATCACAAGAGAATAGATTTCTATTGTTTAAGCCACGCAGTTTGTAGCAATTTGTTCTGCCACAGGAAACCAATACAAACCCGGAGGCCCAGAGTGGGCAAAGGTAACAGGAGCCCTGGTGGTGGATCAACGAGCTAAAAACCACGGACAGGAACCATGTCCTTTCCTCTCAGCTGTAATCTAATTATTTTATAGTAAGTTAATCATGACATGTGCAGTTTCTCTTCACAGAGCATCCCACAAACGAATCTTGTTAGTTTTCCTCCAAAGAATTAGCAAGCAGAATCACAGGTTTCCGGTTATAAAGAAGTGAAGACTAAATATGTTGGTTTAACTGCTTTGCCTGTGTGACTGGCCTGGAAATGTGGTTTTTGTGTCCGCCCTTTGGGTTCCAGGAGGCTTTCACACTGAAACGCTGTCTCAGGCCTTCTCAGCTCTTAACAAATGCGCCCGAGCCCCCTTCCTTCCGGGCCACCTCCCCGGATGACCCTGCGCACCCGCCCGTCGAGGCGCCCGCCTACCTGGGGCAGGACGACCTTCTTCAGCTGCTCCTGCGTGAAGTGCCCCACGTATGCCTCCAGGTGGGACAGCAGCACCACCCGCACGTGCTCCTCGTGCACCTCGAAGAGCCGCAGCAGCACCGGGATCACCCGCGCCTGGAACAGGGCCGGCGAGAGCAGGCAGGGCGTTTCTCCCTGCGTGTTGTCTTCCCCCAGGTCAGACAGGGAAAAAAAAAAATCATCATTTCAGTGAAAGGAGCAGGAAGCCTAGTGCATAAACTGAGCCTGGAACTTCACACAATCCTAAGTACTCTTCGAAATTCTTATGTCCCGAACCAAAGGCAAGTGCTTCTTTGACCCCATATTACTCAAGGCTTAACTGTCTTCAGTATACTCCACCTTGTAGGAGTGTTTCTGAAACACTCTTATCATACTTAATGTACTGCAAAGAAACCTTATGTGTTAATATAATTCTGAGTGGATAGCTCTCTGTATGAACACATTCATGTCTAATCAAGGAGAAATTTCATATACTAGATTCAACTGATATTACTGTTGCAGTTTTTCCTGCAAAGCCAGGAAGTGTTAAATGCTACAACAGGAGCTCGTCCTCTCTTCCTAGCAGTTAAGGAAGGTCCTTCAACAGAGACAGGCATCAGAACCATCTGGGGACCTTTGAAAATATGTATTCACCTGTCCTCGCTCTGTCCCAGACCTAGGGGGCCAGGCACAGACAAATTTAGAAAAAGCTCCCCAGGTCATTCAGATCACCACACAGTAAGCATGCACTATTTAAATGGGGACAAATAATTCCCAAACCCCGTAATTACCAAGAACACTTTGGGAAAAAATTCACCTTTTTTAGGGCCGAGGAGATAAGGAAGAAAACTCTTAACAGCTACTGGCTCTGCAAACACCAGCTGGTTAAGCAGAAGAGGCACCAACCGTGAGGCTATTAATTCCTCTGACAGGCAGCTGACTCTGTCCAGCAGGAATCTAGGGGCAAAGAAGGAACACTTGGGACACTGCAGCAGCTTTTTGCAGCCTCAGCCCACATCATCGAAGTGATGCATCTGAAATGTGGCTAGGGGAACTGAACAGGTTCCCAGATATTTAAGAAAAACTCAGGTGTGAGACAATGCCAGCTAGTCAGTACATATACAACCTCCAATCCAAGCTAGGAAAGTTTTTTCAACAAATTGCCCCTCATTAGTAATAGCAAGAGTGTCCTCTTTCCCCCCTAATAAGCCAGAGTCTTTTTAGTCAATAAAAGGTACTTTCTCAAATTTAAAACACATGTGTGTGCTTAGTCGCTCAGTCATTGTGACCCCCATGGACTGTAGCCCACCAGGCTCCTCAGTTCATGGACTTCTCCAGGCAAGAATACTGGAGTGGGTTGCCATTTCCTTCTCCAGGGGATCTTCCCCATCCAGGGATTGAACCCGGGTCTCCAGCATTGCAGGCAGATTCTTTACTGACTGAGCCACCAAGGAAGCCCATTTTAAAACACACAGGATATCACATTACTTAAAGTTTCTATGGTAAACAAAACGCTGGCTTTTGTTAGAAGCAGCTAAGTACAAGCACTTTAAGAAATACACAGACATCACGTATTAACAGTAATAACGTGCCACCATACAATCACCCTAAGCAAGTATCTTGTCTCCTACCTAATCAGGAAACAGACCATACCAAGCTTTACCTCGTTCAAGCCCCTCAGCCACTATCCACAAACAGGCCCATGGCCAGAAAAATTCCCACCTCTTTTCCAGGTACCAAGGATGTAAGGGATTCCTCTTACTTGAGGCCATCCTCACAGGGGCATTGCCCCAACATTCCCTTCTGCCCCAGGGCCACAGGCCAACAGCCCCCCAGCACAGGGTGGGCTTCAGTTCCTCTCTCACTCCCCCACCAGCTCCATTCTGTGAGTCCAAAGACATGCTCCCATCTTTTCCAGCCTTAAAAACAGCTGGACTTGACTCCCTTAGCAACTCAGTAGCAATTCCATGTTCCTCTCCTCCAAGCTTTTCAGGAGGTTTTACCCACAGTCCATGTTTTCACCTTCTGCTCACATCTCAATTCACAGCAGTTTGATTCTCTCTGCTGAAACGGCTTTTTCTAAGACAAGGTTACAAAAGCTCTCTTGATGGCAAAGCGATTCCTCTCTTTCTCAAAATCTCTACCGTTTGGCATACCAGCCCTCCTGTTTCTCTCTGAATCTCCCCTAACCACTGCTTCTGCCTCACTTGTCAGCCACTCCCTCCCCACCAGCCCCCTGACAAGCTGGGTGCCCCAAGTCCTTTTCATGCTACCCACTTTCTCTGGGAAAATGTCAATGACTACAGGCTAATGAACCTTAATATTCACCTCCAGTTAATCCTCATCAGACCTCTCTCCTGAGATGCAGACCCATCTACCCAAAGGCCCATGTCCATCTTTACCTGGAGGCCCACAGCCACTTCCAACCAATAAGGACACCAGATTCTACATCTCCCCTCCAGTATTTTCCAACTCATTTAGTGATAATCACTAAGGCTTGCCAGGTTTTATGTTTTAATATTTCTTGTCTGTGTCTTCACTGTACCATAGCTGCCCTTACATGAGGCCTTCCATCTACTGCTGGCCTGCTGTGGTCTGCCAACCAACCCAAATCTTACATGAAGTAAAGCTGTGCCCCCTCTGTAGAAAACAAAGTAATCCACCCAAGGGGCCTCACAGCCTGTTTTCACTCCTTTGACAGTTTCAAGGCCTGAAGTCCACTGCTTACCAATAGCATCAATACTCCCCTCGGCAACATCCGAGGGTGCCTGCCCTACCCCCTCCAGCAGGACTCAAGTGGTCATCACTCCACACACAAGACCTACTGCGTTTTGTCTTTGTGCACTGGTTCACACTGCCTCTTTGCACAGAATAGCTTTTCTCTAACCTCCTCCTCCCTGCCCCGTCCTCTATGTTTTCAGGACACCCGCCTTAAGCTCCACTACTAAGGCTTATCAGTCTATATCTGTTTCCTTCACCAGAACTATACATCCCAGGGTCTAGCAGAGAGCCTGACATAGAGGAAATGTCACTGAATTCTGTCTAAGAAACCCAATGATAGACTCATCTTCTCTAGGACACCTAAAGTGATTACATGCACTTAATCCAAGTTACTGAATTTTAAGGCCCGAATTTTCTGAACTTACTTGAAAAATTCAGTTTTTTCCTCTTCGCTCTTCAATGTTAAACTTTTCAAAAAATTTACAACTTCTAGAAAATCATTCCTAAATCCCAAAAAGAAAAAAAAAAATGCAGGACAATAGATTAAAGAAGGCACATTAAATATCAAAGCCATAACCGCAAACCACACGATAATACTACTCAACAAAGACACATCTCCCTTGACCATGTGCAAGATTCTACTATAACTAAGTAGCTTAGAAGACAAGTGCTATAGGACAAGCCCATAGGGAATTTAATATTTTAAGAATATCAAAGAGATCTGTGAAGAGGATACATGCTTAACCACACACATGTGTGCATACACAAACGTGAACAAATGCTGTGGTTTTAATAAAATCATCATAATCATCCAAACATTTTGTTGTAATAGGATGTGGTTACATGAAATGTCCTGGGAGAAATGCTTTTACCATTTACAGAACAGTTGCTGATTCTCAAGTCTCCTCTGGGGAAGTAGTAACTATTAAAGAGGGTTGCAGAAAGAGGCATTTCTGGTACAAGTCACAGGGGTCTTCTCATTTCGCCTGTTTTAAGTTGTCTGGTCACTTTCGCAGCCAGGCAGTGAAGAGGGTGACAGGAGTGAGCGGTTTCCTGCAGGGCCTCCAGACAGTCCCAAAGCCAGCTCAGCTCCAAGCAAACGTGGCCCCTGGCAGAGAGGCTTCAGCAGCAGCCAGCAGCCCCCACCAGCAGGGCTGACCTGCTCTCCTGGGTCTCCACACCTCACCTTTGCACTGCTTCCCTCTGGCTCGGCAGAAAGAGCGCAAATGCCTTGACCAGAGTGTAAAATCAGCCGGCTCGGCTGCCTCGGCAGGAGCTTCGGCCCTGCCTCCTCCCCCTGCCCGTGGCTGGGCTTTCCCCTAGGGGCAAATCCCCTCCTGGGTAACAGTTTATGAAAGGAGGAGCCAGCGTGTGCTTCTGCCTTCCCTTTCCTGCTTTGTTGTGTTTTCTAATTGAAGGATCATTCAATTCTACAATGTTGTGCTGGTTTCTGCCAAACATCAACATGAATCAGCCATAGGTATACCTATGTCCCCTTCCTCTCCCTTCCGTTTCATCCACAATGCATACTAAGGAACTCCTACCCCACACAGTGATGAAAGAATCTATTTAGTGTGAAGGATTCTTCTCTGCAGAGAGTGTATCAGTCTGAAACATCCCCCTCAAAAACACATGGAGATACCTTGCTTAAAGGACTCATAATGGGAAAGGTTTGAATAGTTCTTTTGGAATATAAGTAACAAAGCCCATGTAACCACAAGGAAAATACCCCCTCTGCTGTGTTTAATGATATACCCTCATCCTATCTTAGAGGAAATTTTCCCCCTCCAGGGATATCATCAGCTCTCCTTTCACTCTGATTTCTCTCAGGATTTCCGACTGCAAACACATAAGGATTTTGTTTCACAACTGACACGAGTTTGATTTTGCTAATAAAAGTTATGAATGAGGAGTTAACCAGTGCAGAAGTTCTGCAGACATGGAAATTTAAAAAACAAAGGACACATAATTAAAACTAACCTTGAAAAGAGGTTCAAAAATCTCTCTGAATCCAGCGACAGTATTGACAGCTATACTGTGCCCTCCCTCTAAATTGACTTCTTTGCTCTTCCATCACGAATTACTAAACAAAGAAAACAATCTTCTGCCTGCCTGAAGAAAAATAAGCTCATTTCCGCGCCCATCCCCCACCAACAAGTAAAATTCAACAATAATAGACTTGTATAAATAATACAATGTCAGCAAAACAGAGAGGCTGTGTTAACATTAAGTTCCTCAATTAACTTCTCCAACTCTACAGCACTGGACACAGCCTAGCTTCTTCACGTTCACAGAAGTCCTAAGGAATCCAGCTATAAGGTCTAGACCCAGGCGTCCACGGTGAAGGGTTTCTAGAACTCCCTCTCTCTGAGAGGAAAGTGAGAGGCAATTATCACGCCCCCTCTCCTTCCCACGTGGACGTGACTCACTCTCCCCTAACACTGAGGCGCAGCAGCAGCGAAGGGCCTGCCTCGCTCGGCCCTCCGAAGCCCATGGCGGCAGCGCGGCCCACAGGAGCGGGCGCGGGCAGGCAGCGTGCCGCGCGGGCGCCTCACCTGAAGAAGTCATGGCAGAGGAGGGTGCAGAGCGCCGGCCGGCACTGCGGGCTGGGACTCAGCAGGGCTGAGTGCAAGGTCTGCTGGAAGCTGGAGAGAATATCCTCTGAAACTGAAACCCAGAGCGACAGTTAGTTCCCACTGCCTCCTCCCTCCTGTTAGGACCTCTACCGCTGGAGGCTGAGGAGAGCAAAAACCAACCTGGAAAAAGCCCAAACAAACAGCTCCCCGCCTGCCTGAAGTCAAACTCCTTGGCAGGTGGAGAAAATCATCCTGCCAACACGTCCACCCCCTTTCCCCCCTGGAGGCCCCCACCTTTCCTGACTGTCAGCTTAACTCAGCTCAGGCCTAGAGGAGGAAGCTTAGTAAGTGGCAGGTTTGAGGGCCTTTTCAATCAAGTCTCCTAACCCTCAAAACACAGGAAGTTATCTGAAGGACTGTATTTTCTCTCAAGGATGGTACATAATTGCCACCATGCCAGACACAGTGAAGAGCAGTGAGTTCACCCACAAAGGATGTCACAGGGCTTAAACCTCAAATGTTCAGGCTCAGACAGCTCAGAGCTGCTGGCTGGATGGTGCTTGTAACTTCAGAGGACGGAATGAACCAGGCAGAAGAAACTGCGTTAGGACTGCACAAAGCTGCAGTGACGTGAGCTACTGGCTGGTGAAGGGGCTGAATGTATACAGACCCCAGTACATGCAAAGGATGGACATGTGAAGGCCTGGAGCGGCTGGAGGAGAGTGAAGCGGGCTGTCAGACACACCGCCAGAGAACTCAGAGGAGAACTATGTGCTCACTAGCCTGGGCTTTAAGGGCCAACCAAAGAAAAGAGTAATGAGTAAATGAAATCATGACCAAAAAAAAAAAAAAAAATCGAAAGGACTTTGAAAGAATCGAGAGAAAGAAATGTTAATCTTAATTTAGAAATTAATTTTAAAAAACTCTGAATCTTATCCTCAGATCATTACATACACATCAACAGCACCATTCATTTATTTATAGTCTGGTTTGATAAGGAATAGTCTTTAGACCATAAATACAGTACCAGTCAATAAGATCATAATATAAGATACCCAAAGCCATAGTTTCAAGTATTTCCTACTTAAAATTCTTTTAACTATGCAAAGTAAAGAAACCCAAAGCTTCTGCCCTCACTGCTATTACGATCTGCCCTGCACAAAGTTACTTGGTAAGCAACAGTTCCTTACTACGATCAAACACCGCAGTCCTTTGAATTCACACAGAACAGGCCGTGGATGGCTGTCCCACTAATTCTGTGGATGCAGATAGCACAAGTCCAACTCACCCTGTTCACTTAAGACTGTGAGCAAACTTTCCACCAGTGTCCCAAAAGAATAGGCATCCCGGGCGTGTCCATGGGACGCTGGTAGAGTCGTGAATTCTGGAGACTAAAAGCAGTAAAGATCATTACAACCAGATGATCTGCTTTAGAAACCATTCCTAATCTTCTCTGAAGCACTTTCTCCCATTTTTCTATTTAGTGTATCCAAAGTAAACTACACAGTATCACACACAAATTTATAAGCTCTTACAATGATTAGTGAATAGACTTTATCAAAGATATTAATAATATTAAATACGGACGGGGGAAAGGCCATAATATATGTTTGTGGCTTTCAGAAATATTTCTGACTACAAACTGGAGTAAAAAAAATTATCATCAGCATTATATGCACATATATGTGTAAGTACATAACAAAAAAAAAAGTTTTATAAAACAGTTCTTAGTCTTGCTCCCCAAGATGTCCAGTGATACTTTCTATTTTATTCCCTATTTTTCTCCCTTAAAAATGCCAGTCAGGACCCCTAAATTGATTCAAAACCTACAAATCGTTGGTTTGAAAGATGCTAGTATATACACATAGTACTGCTTGAATAAACCTGAGTTTATTTCAAGTCTTAGGTTTATACTTAAGTTTATTGTTGGGTTTGTGTTTCCTGCAAAGCACACTAAATATGTCTTTGGGGATTAAAGTCTACAGTGGTTAAGAACAAATTTAGAAAGAACAAGTGCTTTTGAATTTATTGTTAAATATTATCTTTCCTTACCAGCACCATAATATTAATAATCACTCTTCCTCACATCTTGGAATCCCAACTAATGGCAGATCGGCCGAGGACCAGCTTGGGGGAAGCACCGGAAAGGGCTGCGCTCTCGTTTCCTAAACTCTCACGGCTTCCACGAAGGTACAAAGGCTTCCCGTGTAATGGCTAAGACGCCCCCACTCTGCTCACACTGAGGTACCGCCTATCTTTCAGCACTATCACAGGTGTCTACATGACCAAAATGTAAGCTGAGTTTCAAGAAAAAAGGCTCTCTGCTGTGATGACATGATCAGTCTCAGAAGCCTTCAAGGCCATAGGAATTAGGAAGTGTCTATGACTTAGCAAAGAGGTGGGCAGAGGAAAGGTTTTTGTTTTGCTTTAAGTTTCATACTCAAGTTACACCAAGAAGCCTTCATGACATCTTTAGTGTATCATCTTACCATCTCTTCAGGAGGAATAGATGCTGGGTCTCTTACTGACCGAATACTCCTCAGAAACTAAGAGAAATAAATTAAGGAAAGTAATTCGAGCATATGTTTGGTGAACCAATCTCTTATATCAAGTTACAAAAGCAAAGAGCAATCATCAGCAATAAAACCTTCAAACCAATGCTACAGGCTAAATACATAAATTAAAAATCTTCATCACTGAAAAATGTAGATATAGTGCCTGGTATGGCACAAGACTTAGTGGAAAATGAACATCAGTTTCCTTTCCTTTTCCTTTCAGCTGGTTTAACAGACACCCTCTGGTGTTCAGAGGCATCTCTATATCTGATTTATTTAAAAGGAAATTAGAAATACTTTTTTCTCATCCTGCATGAAAGTGAAAGTAGCTCAGTCATGTCCGACTGTTTGCGACCCCATGGATGATACAGTCCATGGAATTCTCCAGGCCAGAATACTGGAGTGGGTAGCTGTTCCCTTCTCCAGTGGATCTTCCCAACCCAGGGATAGAATCCAGGTCTCCCATATTGCAGGCAGATTCTTTACCAGCTGAGCCACCAGGGAAGACCCTCATCCTACGGAAATAAAAGACTTCTCTAGCATAGGACAAATCTATCGTTAATCTGTTCTCTGAATCAAGTCAGTCATAAGTTGGTTGCCACATGAGATATGTGAGGACCTTATATACTAGAGAGACAGAGCCAGCATCCACAGAACAACATTCAACTACTGACTCATCAAAAATTATTTCTCAAGAGCTTATATGTTCCAAACGCCATCTAGGGCGCCAGGAATACATATTGAATGCAATAAAATCCCGGCCCCGGCCAGGAGCTCACGACCTAAAACGTAAACTAAGACCTTCGATAGCCTGTGCGGGTTGAGCACCTGGGGAGGCCAGGAGGAGGACTGCTCTTGCTGGCAGGGGACACCTCGGGGAGGCTTCCCAAAGAGGAGACGTAGCCTGATCTAGACTTTGGCGAGACGTCTGCCTCATCTTACATCCTGCAGAGTCCAGGGGAGGAAAGGCGACAGAACAGCACACAAGGGAAAAAGGGGGTGGAGGAGGAGAACCCCGTTGGGTGGCATGGAACAGGACGCAACCGGAGTGGAGCTCAATAACTGAGTGGACCTGGAGCTGAAGGCAGGCTGGGGAGGAGCTGGGGAAGGGCCTGGGGACCGTGGTACAGCATCTGGGGTACACCCCCCAGAGGGAATTAGGCTGTTACACTGACAGCTGGAAGCCAACTTCTGAGAAGAAAGGGTCAACAGGGACAGAAATAACAGAGGAAATGTCTTCACGGTGGAAGGAGCATTTGAGCTGAGCCAGAGCCCTGAAGGTACACATGCAACAAGGCCCCCGTGAGACCTGCACACAAGGGAACAGGGGGAGTGAGGTGGAGCCAGGAAGTCAGGGAGCCCCCTCATCAGTAAGGAAACCATGGTGTGTGTGTGTGTGTGTGTGTGTGTGTGTCCTGCACACAAGGGAACAGGGGGAGTGAGGTGGAGCCAGGAAGTCAGGGAGCCCCCTCATCAGTAAGGAAACCATGGTGTGTGGGTGTGTGTGTGTGTGTGTGTGTCCTGCACACAAGGGAACAGGGGGAGTGAGGTGGAGCCAGGAAGTCAGGGAGCCCCCTCATCAGTAAGGAAACCATGGTGGGTGGGTGGGTGTGTGTGTGTGTGTGTGTGTGTGTGAGAACAGGGGGAGTGAGGTGGGTGGGTGTGGGGGTGTGTGTGTGTGTGTGTGTGTGTGAACAGGGGGAGTGAGGTGGAGCCAGGAAGTCAGGGAGCCCCCTCATCAGTAAGGAAACCATGGTGGGTGGGTGGGTGGGTGGGTGTGTGTGTGTGTGTGTGTGTCTGTGTGTGTGTGTGTCCTGCACACAAGGGAACAGGGGGAGTGAGGTGGAGCCAGGAAGTCAGGGAGCCCCCTCATCAGTAAGGAAACCATGGTGGGTGTGTGTGTGTGTGTGTGTGTGTGTGTGTGTGTGGGTGTGTGTGTGTGACCTGCACACAAGGGGACAGGGGGAGTGAGGTGGAGCCAGGAAGTCAGGGAGCCCCCTCATCAGTAAGGAAACCATGGTGGGTGGGTGGGTGTGTGTTAAGGCTAAATCTAGTGGCAACATGCAAAATTATGGAAATAAGAAACAAACAGAGAACAGTAAGACTGCTCAACTCAGGAGGGGACTTTGCAGACCTCTGTCAGACAAAATTACAAGATGGAGCACAGGCAGCAATACCGTAGCTCACGAGGAGTTACAATGCACAGTCCCCGACACCAGCTCTTAGGACATAATGTATGACTCTGGAAAACACGAACAAGTGCTCAGTGAACATGTCTAATGTGCCTAGTACGTGCCAGGCCCTATTCTAGGTGGATAGATAAAGATACATACACAACACTATCACCCTCAAGAAGCTCAGCCACTGGTAAAGAAGGGAGACACATGGAGGCAATTCAGCATTAAACACTCAGTGGTAAAATGAAGTGCAGGTTACTACAGGAGCGCAGAGGGTGGGCATTTAATGGAAAAGTTGACCAAGACACTTTACCTCTTCCAGTCTCAAGATACCTTTGCTAAGAATAGATGATGCCTAGCCCCTCTGGACAGTAAAATCCTACAACCCTGTGAATGTGAGTATTGACAAAAAAAGTCACATCTCTAAACCTCAGCTCACACTACCGCACACCAAAATGCTACCAGACTCTGGGTGACATGGAGGGCCTGGCACCTGGCTTACCTCTGGGGTGGCCTGAGGAACCCTGCAGACTGTTTCCATTCCTCCCAGCTTCCAGTGTCCATCTTCGCTCACAAACACAGACGATATGCAGACATTGTTGTGTGTGAGGTGTCCCTGGGGAAAAAGAACAGGAAGAAGATTGCCATTCCCATTTGCTGAGTAGAAGTTTTAGAAAACTAAGAACTCATCACCAAAAAAAAAAAAAAAAAAAGAGAGAGAGAGAATTATGGCAATCTTCCTACTTGTGGCATAAGAAATAGAACTACAACTTTAAGAAATGACAAATTCAATGAGCCAGCTTAAGCATTATGAGGTTAGGAAAAAATGAAAAACACAATGGAAAGGCTTATCTCCCCCTGCCCAGGGAGGCAGGTTAATAAAGACACGAAAGCCACCGCACAGACACTGTACATCCCCATCTCCATCAGAGTCGGGAGATACAAGTGTCCTTATAGGTAAATTTACAAGTCTTTCCAGCCTACATCGTATGCCTCAAACACCTTTAAAGGAAAAATTTATCTTTGCTCCCATAAGGTTATTGTATTAATTTTCTCCTCTAAATTCTTTCTCACCTACATTCTATCACGAACCCAGATCCACTTCACCTGAAATCTTGCCAGTAGGCATTAAAAAAATTCTGCCTGAAGAAGAGGAAAATGGAATGATAAGGACCACCAGAAATATCCCACAGACCACAGAAGAGCCAAATTTAAAACTATATAAAAAAATAGTACAGTCAAATAAATGAGGGAAGAAGAAAAGGAGAACGGGGATGATGTATTTTTTTTTCTCAAGCCAGGAAGTATTTCAGTAGATAAGTGTATTTAAATATTCTACCCATCAGATCCAATATGTACACATTTTGCATATAAACACCCCAAGGTATGTATATATCTTTTTAAAGGAAAGCTTAGAATAGTATTAGGCTGTGTTTCTGCTTGAGAAAAAGTAAAGGCGAATAAACACTTACATATTTGCTTAAGACACACAAAGAGCATCTGTGGCCTAACACACTGATCACCGAGGTTGTCTATGGCAAGAAGCAGGGCCCTGGCTTCAAGGATAGAGACTTGTTTCCTTGTCTGCACTCTCACGCTATTCAAACTTTTTACCGAATTCAAACATTTTTCCAACAGAGAAACTATTCCACCACAGTGCAGCATTAATAATTCTACTTATGTGTATCTTAGAAATACTTTTAAGAGGCAATAAATTCAAAGTGATTTGAAGAGTCTATCTCCCATTAACAGAAAAAATTTTTTAAAAACACATTGAGATGAGTCAAATGCAAGTGCTTCTAACCTGTAACTAGTGTTTTTTAATCTTGGGAGGCTGCCATAGGCCTTTATACTTCAGAATGTAAATCCCAGTAAGAAACTAGTAGTTCAATAATACTGTTAAGAAACAGACCACAAGTAAACAATACCACTTTATCCCCATAATAGCAAATACTGCCGTGGTATTAAGGGGCTGCCTCTTTTTGGCACCACCTACTTGAATGGGAAAGGGTGTGTGAAACTCTGTCTCTTTCTAAGAAATGATCATTTCTTTCGTTAAAAGAAAAAAAAAAATCGTGAAAACAAATAGAAACATGGTCCACACCACCACTGATGTTACTAAACTTTAATCTCATCCTAATAACAAATACCAGCTGTAGATAATTTTTGGTAAAGACTTATCCAAAACTAGAGACAGACTATATAGTAAACTGAAATAAAGTTCTATAAATAACTACCCAGGGACAAAGAACTTGTTGCCTGCTCCACAAACCACTTGTCTGTCTATAGCATCTCATGTGCTGTTTTCCCTCAGGAAGCTTTCTGATGAGAATAGTAACTTATGATTTCCATAGATACCAAAACTCAGAAGCACTACCCCATACATCAGCCTCCATCTCCAACTCCTGGTCTACAGGAAAGGCTGTGAGGCAGACTGCCCAGGTTACTTACTCGGTCATGAAGGAAGATAAGAGCCAGCAATATGTCATAGATCCCAGCACAGACCTCTGCAGGAGACAATGTTTCCAAAACCACTTCCAGAGGCTGCACTCGCTCAGTGACGAGATGAATGCCATCTGCTTCCACAGTGCAAGATAAAAACCTTAGCAAGCATGGGTGACGAAGGGTCTTCAGGTGCTTTAAAAATACAAACAGAAAAGTCAGTAAAGTTAATGACTCAAACAAGATGAATTATAGACTCACATATATTGTAATCAATTCAGAAAATGTATACTTACATTCAAGGTCTTCTCCAGTCTCTTACCTCCCCCACCTAACCCCCCAAGTGTCAAATAAGGCAAAGAAAAATCCATGACGTGTTCTGACAGTGTTCACTTTACCAGCATTTATATTACTCTACAGAGACTTTCATTTCCCTGAGTGTAAGCCCCCAAGAGCCCAGATTTCCAATGATTATTGCTATAAACTCTGAACGAAGCACCGAAAACAACGCCTGAGAACTCTGAAAAGTAAACGAGAGCATGTAGATTATGGCGGGCAGTCACCCACGGGGTGAGTTTCCTGGTTGCGGGTGCCCCTTCTCACAGTTGAGCACTGAAGGCAGGCCCCCGTGCAGATAAGTGCAGCGAAGGCAGCTAAAACTCCAGTGGAAACTCTGCCATCTTTGCGGCCAGGAGAACCGGAGCAGGTTCAAGCGTGAGGAAGCTGTCCCAGAGGAGAGAGAGCCGAGGAGGCCCCATTTACCTGTGTACCCACCAGGTCTCAGACGAACCCCAGAACCAAACACGCACAGGACAGACCCAAATTAGCACAGCAAAGTTGTGAAAAATGAACTAAGGTTTGAACTACCATGCACAAGAAGGGTGAGAGAGTAGTTAAAAAAAAGGGACGCTTGAGCCCGAGGGAAGTGACCGTCTGCAAACGAAAAACATCAGCAGTCTCCAGAGAATCACAGCAGAACCAAGAGTCTATGCAACAGGCATTCAAAATGTCCAGGACGCAACCCAAAATCTCTCAGAAGATAAAGAATCATGAAAATGTGAAAAAAACAGCCATCAAATACCAACCCTAAGATTGACTAGACACCAGATACTGGAAATTATCAGAAGGAATCTGAAGCAGCTATCACCACCATTCCCCCCAGAGATAAAGGAAACAGTTATAAAATAAGTAGAAAGACAGAAGCTCTCAGAAGAGAAATGAATGTTACACAAAAGAAATGGAAATTTTATAAATTAAAAATATTACAAATAAAAAAATACAATGGATGAACTTAATAACAGAATGATAATGACAGAGACAAGACTCAGTGAACCTAAAATTGTTAACCAATCTAAAGAACAAAGAAGAAAAAGTAAAAGAAAAGGTCAGAGCTTCAGAAACCTGGGTGACGATAACAAAAAGTTTAATGTGCATAACTGGAGTTCTAAAAAAAAAAGAATAATTGGGACATAAAAAAATTATAATGGATGAAAACTCCCAAAATTTGGCCAAATACTTGTTTACAGATTTAAGAACTTCAATGAACGCTAAGTAAGATAAATCAGAGAAAACTACACCTAAACACATTATGATCAAACTGCTGAAAATCAAACATCAATTTAAAAATCTTAGAAGTAGCTAGAGAAAAACAAACTGAATGATACTAATTTCTCTTAAGAAACCAGAATCCAAAAGATAAAGGGAAACTATCTTTGAAGCAATGAAACAAAAAAAAAAAATCATCAAACCTGAATTGTGTATCTAGCAAAAATACCCTTCAGGAAAGAAGGCAAATTAAAAAAGCATTTTTGATCACAAAAACAGAAAAGTTGTTGCTAGATGATCTGCTCTACAAAAATGCAAAAGAAGTTTCAAGCTGAAAAGGAAACACCACCTAAGGGAAACCTGGATCTTCAGGATTGGAGGAAGAGCAGCTGAAATAGTAACTATCAGGTTAAAGTTGAAGCTTACATTTTTCCCCTCTTATTTAAAATATACACGACTGTGTAGAGTGAGCACTGCAACACTTGCGGGAAAGTCTTTCCACCTGTGCCATGAACATGCCTGCCTGCGCACCTGTGAGCACAGACAGTTAACATATATGTCACAGAAGAACAGCAGGTTTGGAGGCTGCAGACATCTATGTGATTCCAAGGCGTCTACATTTTCTGTGACTGTGGTACACACTAACCACAATTAGTGGTTAGTATTAACTAACCACAGTTAATAACCATGACTAATTACAAGTTAGTTATGTATACTGAAGCCCTCAGTGTAACTACTTTAAAAAACTAAAGAAATATATAGCCCCCATTCAAGATACATTAAAATAAAATACTAAAAATATTAAAATAATTCACAAGAAGGGGAAAAGAAGAACAAAAATCAGAAGGGGATGAGAAGAAAACAAATGATAAATAATTACATTAAATGTTAAAAAACTAAACACTCCAATTAAGAGTGGATAAAAAAGGAAGATCCACTATATGCTGCCTATAGAAGACATACTTTAGACATAAAAGACAGAGATAGGTAAATGAATAGAAAATAAATTAATTTGATAGAAAAGGCTATCTATCAGTAAGCAAAAGAAGGCTGACACGGATATATTCCTATCAGACAAAATATACTTCAAGACAAAGAGTATGGCCAGAGATAAAATGGGACAATTACTTAAAGAATAAAAGGGATAATTCATTAAAAAGACATAACCAATTATAAATGTGTATGTGCATAAGAGCAGAAACTCAAGATACACATGAAGCAAAAACTGGGAAAATGAAAGGGAAAAACAGACAATTTCACAATCATAGTATCAGAGTTGGAGATTTCTGTTGAATCAACGGAAAAAAATAAAATCAATAGAACTAGCAGAAAATAAACTAAATAAAATAAATAAAACATAGAAAACCTGAATAATATTAACTACCTGAATCAAACTGAGATTTAGAAAACACTATATCCAATTGCAGAATACACATTCTTTATTTGATGATCAGTTTTCTAATTAATGAAAAGAGAAAAGCTTTAAAGATAGTTGAATATGATTAAGGGGATTAAATGTTTGAAAGTAAGAAGGCAAAAAATAAGAAAGCAAGATCAACAAAATTAAACTGCTTATTGTGGATCAGGGTACTAATCCATTCAAAACTGTTTTATGATCCAGCACATTAATCAACCATCTTTAAAACTCTTCTCTTTTCATTAACTCATTAGGTGTCCCAAGTGGCTTCTTATTTGTTTAAATGAAGGAAGAAAGAATGGAATAAATCTTGCATGATTCTGAATAAGGCACTTAACTTAGCAAAAACCTTGTCACTCCTCTTTGGCATATGTAGTTATGCATAAAATTATGCATAAATTCACAGGAAAGGTTAGAGCTTAAGAATGAAATAGAAATACTTCTTGATTTAAACTTCTGCTATTCCAAACAAAAGACGGAATGACAAGATGTACTTGCTAAGTGTAACTAGGATATTTTCTCAATGAACATCAATTAAAGAGAAAAATGTTTTTGTTCTGGTGGAGAAAGGTGAATGCTGTTCAATGAGACTGATTTGAAACCATTTGTTGCAAAGTTACCAAGTATTGATCACATCTCATTCACTCCGCTAGGTACTGGTCTTTAAAAGAGGATTCTGAGTAAGGACCTTTATATTATTAAATATGAGTTGTAGTAGATATTTTGCCGATCTATGCCCATACACAGATGTTAAGTGTGTGGTATCCCTACTATTCAAGAATCAGTTAGTTAGGACTCAGCCATTCAGAGACTTAATTCAAGCCTCAGGGGCTTGACTTTTCATTACCATTCTACCTCAGACTTGCTACTTCACTTTGAAAACACAAAGTCGTTCTCAACTGTAGCTTAAATTCACTTTTAAGTTTTTAGACAGGGAGAAAGCTTTACTGTCACTCTGCTAAAGAAATACAACAAAATAACAAGATGCCTAAACCAGACAGCTAGAATCTTCAGGGAGACATACTCTTCCTCCTACCCCTAAAATGCAAACTGGAGAAAGACAGAAGTCCATTCTGTCTTTAAATGTTCACTGCCTGGAAGGAGGATCATAAACCAAGAATAGAAGGCAGGATAAAGAATTCTATGCTAGAAAGCATGCTTTTGAGTACAGGAGATACTGAATAGGGACGTGGAAATAATAGATCTGGAGCTCAGACAAGAGGTTTTGACAGATATTTAGAGACAAAGGATGAGAATGTGAAGTCTGAGAACCGTGGTGGGAACTGGCCAAGGGCCAGTGCCACCTGGTGACCGTAACACTCTGAGGGAGGGGTAATGCTTCCTAAGTTCTTCTGAGCAGGTGGTGCTTGGGAGCCTTGTAAGAGAACCAGACTTTGATCATGAGGGGAAGGAAATCATTTTTTTCAAAGCTGATGACACAGGGAAGTTGATTTACCGGAATGGGGGTTGTAAATAACATAAAAAAGGCTGAGAGGGAGAGGAACAGAAAGAAAATGTCAGTATAAGGAAGAGCAGTAAAGCATTTCCCAAACAGAATTCAAGCTCCTTTAAGCACAGCAATCAGTCCTTCTATTTCTTTCTCATGCCCACACAACATGGGTTCTCAAATATGTTGACCAATAGCAGCGTGAACCCACCCTGGGATTACAGCATGTCTCCTAAGGCACTAAACAGAGCACCTACATAGCATCTAAATACCTACTCTGATGTGGCTGCTTGATAGAAGGACACTTAGGAACCATTCTTTGAGCCTATACTCACCATGAGGCCCTAACTAAACACACACATTATATTATAGCAAACCATATAGTAACCAAGTTCTGACTTAGGATTTACCACCCCTTGCAGACTATTGGTTAGAAATGAATCATAATCCCAGTGAGAAAATTATACTATTGTATCAACAGCTAATGAATTCAGGATAAAATGAGAAGGTATGATGGACTTGAAGTATTTCTGATCCTGTTTTGTAGCCAAAGGTTAAACCTGCATTTCATCTTACTTCAGAGGTTAAACAGTGTGCTGAGATTGCTGTTTTCTGTTTACCACATGGTTAGAAGAGTATGGCTTCCCTGGTTCCTCAGACGGTAAAGCACCTGCCTGCAATGCAGGAGCCGTGGGTTCGATCCCTGGTTCAGAAAGATCCCCCGGAGAAGGCAATGGCAACCCACTCCAGTACTCTTGCCTGAAAAATCCCATGAACTGAGGAGCCTGGTATGCTACAGTCCATGGGGTCCCAGAGTCGGAGATGACTGAGCGACTTCACTCACTCACTCACTAGAAGAGTATAATCACTACCTCACAATGTTTGGCAAAGCAAACACTGTATATCTGCTTGAAATGGTAAACCTACCATTGACAGTTATTAGAAATGTCGGTGGTAGGATTAGGAACCTGATCTCTAGAGAAAGGAAGCAAGCTAATGATGGTACTTCAATATTTAAGGTATCTAGGAAACCAAGTTCCTAAAACCCAATGCAATGCCATTCATTTCTCAAGTACTGTGACCTTCATCTAAACTCCTTATCATTTTGTTGCCATTTCAAATTTCGCAGATTCAAGGTTCAGGTATTCAAAGCCGCGTGAGAGCCCGAGGAACCTAAAAGAAAAGTATGAACTACGTGAGAAGAGTCATGGCTCAGAAGAGTATGTATAGATACCAAGGGTGGAAAAAATCTTCCTTCTCAAGTTTTGCAATTCCTACAGGGCGGAAGTTCTCAAACATTGCATAAGCTTTGCTTCTTCCCTTTAAAACTTTTATGATCTGGGTTGTTCAACTTCCATGCTACATACACCATAAAGATTAACATAATTTAAAAAATCTTATGGTCTTAGAAATGGTTATAAATTTCTAGTACTTCACTAGTAATAGTCAATTGTTATTTTTTTAAATATGCAATCTTATTAGATGATAATGACAAGAAGTATGTCAGATATTAACTGCACCTAAGCAAAAGACAGGGAGGCAAGGCATTGCATCTTTTGTAAAATCACAATAAAAAATTAGTATCAATTCCCAGATGGGATGGAAAAGAGACATGTGTTCTTACCAAAAAACACAATTACTTAGTGATACAATAGCCAGCTACACTTTTTATCAGAGCACATTAATGGAAAATGCATTCTGAGTAAAACATTTTCCTTAGGAGACCATCTTACAACTATTAATCTCAAGGCTGATCAGAGACATCAAACAATCAACTGGTGTGACAGACAAAATGCCTAAATTATATTCCTAACACTACATATTATAATATAGCCCTTTATAATCATTAACAAGGTATAAACCATTTAAACAGATCTATGAAATAGAGGGCGTCCCTGGTGGTTCAGACAATAAAGAATCTGCCAGCAGTTCTGGAGACCCAGGTTTGATCCCTGAGTCAGGAAGATCCCCTGGAGAAGGAAATGGCAACCCACTCCAGTATTCTTGCCAGAAGAATTCCATGGACAGAGGAACATGATGGGCTATAGCCCATGGGGTCACAAAGAGTCAGACACTGAGCAACTAACACTTATGAAATATATATCAATGTTTCATTCTTATTGTTGAGAAAGAATAAGAAATTGTAAGAAACTCAAGGTAATACAGATTGTAACTCCTAACAAAATAAAGATACTGAATCAATCTGAAAGGGCTTTCCTTTTTAGAATCTTCCTGAAGATAATCTGAATGCCTGAATACCCAAGGAAATGGCTAACTAGCCAAAGAAATATCAGCTAATACTTTTCTTTTCTCTAATCTGAAAAGATACTTAGGGCTATTTTATTGAATTATATTCCAAGGTGGAGTCATTTTTTCTAATGAGAGCCCAGGATCCCCTGACAGCAGGTCAGCCAGCTTGCTAGCCCACTGGCGCCCTTCACAGGAGCAGCAGTTAGGAGGCCTGAGGTGGGAGGAACTTTTTCATAATAATAAAACTGAAGCCGCCAGAAGTTAATGCTCTAGGGTCCCTTGGCAAGAAGTAGGGCCCAGGTCACAGTCTTTCTGGGGCATCTTGTCCCACATTCCAGTTTCACATTCTTTCCAGGAGCACCACAATGCCTCAGCAAAGAAAAAACAGCGTTACAGTTCCTAAAATATGTAATTTTCAGGTCCATCCCATCATCAGCACACCAATTAAAATGTTGTCCATACTTACAGCATTTTTGCTAAGCTAGAATTAAGTCCCTTTATCTTCTGTGAGCCATGTAAAATCCCCTCCCAAACTTTCTCACTAAAAAAATACAATATGATGAGAAGAGCTATTAGGCTTATCTATGGTACTTGACCTTGTGATGACGTTCCCATGAAGTAAGGACAACTATATTTTCAAAGGCCATGAATGAAAATATTACTATGACCTACCCCCTTGGAACTTTGTTAATTTCATGATTTTTTTTTAATAGAAAAGAAGAAGACTGTAAAAAGTACTAGCTATTAGGCAGTCACTTATGAAGGTACCTTGGCAGCTTTATTAACCTTATCTTCGTTTTCTCTCTTATAGACAAAAACCGACGCGAGTTTGCCATCCTGCAGCACAGCTGGGTAGACGGCAAGTCCGGAGGGCAAGGTGAACGGCGGCTCCTTCAGGGCATAGCTCTTCAAAGCACTGTTCTCTGAGCCCATCCCTTTTTCGGTGAGACAGGGGTGCTGCAGCTCCTTCTCAAAGCCAAGCAGACCTGAAAGCAAACAGAAAACGTTTCCCAACACTGAGCATCTGAGCTATGGGCCAGAGACAGCCAAGTAACCAGACCCAGGCGCTCCGTCGTAGGAACTCCCACCACTGCCTACAATCCTCATAAACCAGGCCATTTGACAACAAAAACAGTCAATGTTCAGCAAGTTACCTGCAAGGCTTGACAGTGAACAAATAACAGCTCTAGAAAAAACGCACTTAACCAGACAGACACATGCAGTTACCGTCGTTCCCGACCCCCAGTGCACACACAGAACTTCCACAGAGGAAAAGTGATCCGACACAGAACAAGGGCTCTCTGGCACCCTACCCCACTTATATCCAGTCTCACAGAGGAAAGCGCTGCAAAACTTGATCATTCAAAAAAGACAAACTTCTGGATGTCTAAAACAACTTACAATTATATGGAGAACATTACAAACTGGAGAATATTTCTAAAAATGTTGAAAAACATGTTAACAAATGGAAAGCTTGTATAAACCAAGAAAACATTAAAACACCAGCAGAATAATGGGAAGGGAAATAGATAACTCATTGGACACAAATGATAACAAATATAAGAAAAAATACAATCCCGTAACTATCTCCAAAGTATGCTAAAAAGGGGAAAAAGCAAAACTGTATAATCCCAAACATTAAAAAGACGTGAGATTCTAGGAAATGCAAACTTTTCTGTAAGGACAGAAAACAGGTAAGTGGTTGCCTGGGGTAAGACTAGTTAGATAAACCATGGGAGAGGACAGGAATACAATGGGGTATGAGGAAACTTTGGGGGGAATGGATATATTCAGTATACCTTGATTATGATTATAGAGATGAGTGATCTACTGCTATAGCTACACACATACACACACACACACACACTTGAAAGGTGTGTTAAGTATTAACAGGTTTGCTGTGGATGTCAGACCATGGATGATTCACATACATGAATGTGAATTCACATTCTGTGTTTGTCACACAGACGTACATTTGCCGGCACCTCCCAATTGTTCCACAATAAGAGTATATCTTTCAAAGATACAAACTCATGTGGTTACAACAGACAATACACAGAGGTTCAGCAGTATTGGTGGAGAAGCAAAGGGCTTACTGTGTGCACAGGCACCTACCGTGACTGGGTTTGCTCTATGAAGGCAGCCACCATCACAAGGTTCCAACCAGAACTGCAACTTCAGAATTGCCAGGTCACACGATTTACCCATAAAGAGCCAAGAGCCAGAATATTTATGTGGAAATTTCCGTATATTTCAACATTGGCTCCAACATTTTTAAACATGTATAGGCCAAACAACACATGTCTGAAAAGTTTATGGCAGTCAGTTTTTAGTTCTGGCTTTACCATAACTTTAAAAATACAAGATAAAAAGAGTTCTTACTAACTCTGGCAGCGTGGGAAGCAAGTTGCAAGCTCTAAGTAACAGCCAAAAATTCTAGGTGGACCTTTAAGAAATTCACTTTAAAATCTTCATCCTTTGGGTAAATATAAACCCAAGAATTATTATACATAGACCCTCTACTTGAGATTTTTTTCCCCCACTTTGGCAAGTTCCATTCAACACTTAATAGGTTATCAGAATATGCAATACTGCTTAAAACATATACCCCAACCAAAGAATTTCAAAGGGCTACAGACCTACATATAAACCTGAATAAGGATTATAACACATATAAGGGCTAAAGTTAGCTAAAATTGATGTTTTTTAAAAAACCCAAGAATGCTTCTGAGGATAAGAACTAAGCTGGCTTTGTAACAAATCCACTGAGCTCCTACCTACCAATTTATTTTTCCTAAGAATGATAGAGGCAAAAAAAAAGTAAACCCCTCCAAACAAACAAAAAAATACCCCAAATGACAACAAGAAACAGTATTACAAAGTATCTCAACAACAGCTGACCCTTTAAAATCACAGGAAATTAGGGGCACCCATAACCTCTTGGTCAAAAACCTGAGTATAACTTTACAGCTGACCTTCTGTATCTGCGGTCCCACATCCGTGGATTCAACCAACAAAGGGGATCCGACCAACCACAGATCATGAAGTACCGTAGTGCACATTTACTGAGCGTGTAAACGGGCCTGTGCAGCTCAAACCCATGTTGTTCAAGGATCATCTGTGCATGTAACACTCACCTTTCTACTGGGACGACAAATAAAACTGGTATTTATGTAGGATCTTGGAGGAAAAAAGCAACTACTATTAATTCCCCTGTTTTGGAGACGGTGCGGTGCCTGCCCAGCCTGTGGCAGCCCCCTTCCCCACCCGTCTTGGGAGCCTCACATTTGGCACTCGGATCTTGCGCCCCTCCTCTTAGGCACAGTTATTTATGGGTCAGATGACGCCCTGAGCCAAAGGGCAGTCAAATCACACATGAGCCATCTCCAGGACCCATGACCTGAAGGAAGAGCTAAGCTGGGTAATCACTGCCCGCCCCAGGAATCTGAATGAACAGGAGCCATTTTTGTCTATTAGCAGCACCGCTGAAGGTTAAAAGCATCCCATAAGGCAGAGTCAGGGCTGTGGTAAGCCAAAGCCATGGAAATGAAGAAACCGGGCAAGTGCAGAAGAAACTGGCAGGCAGCACCAGAAGGAAAAGCAAGCACTGGGAGAATGACGTAGGTACAGTACTACTCCAATCCGAGGCTGCCGGAAGCCCAGCTTCTGGTCCGCTGCCTCACTGCCACCCTTACAGTCGTGGGAGGGGAAGAGGGGGATGCCAAGGACACGTGAGGTGGCCCGAACAGGTCCATGCTCTTTGAAACTAACTGCCATTTCATAAGCACAACTTTTAACTCCTCCTATCTGAAAAGCAAGTCAGACTAGAAGAATGAGCTAGAGAGGCACTACTTTCAAAAGTAGCATCTGAAGTGAATCTAACTTCTTTCTCTCTCTTAGCCACAAAATACAGCTTTCCAAAATCTACATGTAAGGAACTGCTGCAAGAAAATAACCTTGGTAGAAAAAATTCATGCCATTCACTTAGTTTTAATATTAGTCTCCAGAGGCGATAAAGTGGTCATAAGAGTTCAGAGGGGACTCTGGCTGAAGGAATGGCCATCAGCAGAGGTATAGCAATAGACATTTAATAAACTTGGTCATTTCTCAAGAGCAAAACACTTTCTTATGGGGATATAGGGCCTTACAACACCTATTAACCTTCCATTTAATGTTATGAATTCCACTATAAGATCACTAACAATTCAGTGTTATAAAAGCTCTAGGAAGATACTAAAAACTGGGTTTTATTTGGGTCCATGACCTCAAGAAATACCACCTGAAAATTTAAAGGAATGAACCCCTTCCTTGCGAAAACTCAAAAGGATGACATTTTATTAGTTTGAAAGCATGATTAATGTTGACAGCAGTCTACTGATACCACCCTGCAGCGCTTACAGTAGTTGGATTACAGCCTGCTGCTGCTGCTAAGTCACGTCAGTCGTGTCCGACTCTGTGTGACCCCATAGACAGCAGCCCACCAGGCTCCTCTGTCCCTGGGATTCTCCAGGCAAGAACACTGGAGTGGGTTGCCATTTCCTTCTCCAGGATTACAGCTTACTTTCAGTAAAAACTTCATTAGTTAGTGTTAATCGCTCAGTGGTGTCTGACTCTTTGCCAGCCCATAGACTTAGCCCACCAGGTTCCTCTGTCCATAGAATTCTCCAGGCAAGAATACTGGAGTGGGTTAACATTTCTTTCTCCAGGGAATCCTCCTAACCCAGGGATCAAACCCGGTCTCCTGCACTGCAGGAAAATTCAATACTCTCTGAACCACCAGGGAGGCCCTGTTGAGAAATAAATATTAGGAGGGAAATAAAAAGATGCGCTGTTGACTGCAATTTGTTTATGTCTTAAAAGCAGTAATTCTTAATATGTAGCTTCACAATTCTTACATCCTAAGATATAAGTTGTATAGTTGTATCCTAAGAGGCACAACTGTTGCTATAAACAATGCTTTAAAAATGACAATTCAGCTAAAATGGACTTACTGAAATGTAATACTGGTAAACAAGAACACCTGGACCTCCAAAATGCTCTTTTTTGTTTTGAAGAGTAAAGGGGAAAGCACCAAATCATTTAACCTTGAAATGAAAAAGTCACAAAAAGGCAGAAAAAGATACTCTATTAGCATAGGTATTTTTCAGAATTTACCACCTGGTGGCTCAAGTTGGTAAAGAACCTGCTTGCCAAAGTAGGAGGCCAAGAGATACAGACTCCATCTCTGGGTCAGCAAGATTCCCTGGAGAAGGAAATGTCAACCCATTTCCAAACGCTGATATTCTTCTCTGGAAAATTCCATGGTCAAAGGAGCGTGGTGGGCTACAGTCGATGGGGTCGCAGAGTTGGGCAAGTGTGATTTCCTGAGCCAGCGTACACACACACTAAAATAAAATATTGGGTAGACAGTTTGACTTGTATAGATATCATCGTCTTCTCTTTAAAATGTTGTTCACCTATCTTCCTTCATCCTTTTACTTCTTTGGGCAGCACATCAGGTTTCTGGGCCACCTGTGGGATTAAAAGCCCTTGTATATATTACTGGGCAACTCATACACTAAACTAAGAAATGAGTGTTCTTTGAGGAATTCGCTCTCCTTCGCAAGTAATTGGGATGATCGTGATCTTAACTCCTTCAGCTTGGACGTTCCAACGATAAGGTTTTGCATTGAGAGTTCAGAGGACATCTGGTATTGATCGGTATTTTGTTATCTGGTGATAACATTACTTGAGGCCCTTAGCTTTGATCTGTTTCACGTATACATTCCCTATAATGAACTCTGTCCAGCAATATATAATGAAGCCTTTGCGTACCTAAAGAACTAAGTAGGATTTCAGCTAAGGCACGGGATGTTTTGGGGGTATGCGCACGGGTCCTTAAAAACAACAGTAACAGGGATTCCAAAATTCAGGATCCAACTGAGTATTCGCACGGTTTCCTATATATGTTTCACCTTTATTCTAAACAAAATGCACTACCCAGAGACAGGAGCCAGCGGGTCCCCTGGGGCCCTGCACCGGTCTCCGATCAAGAATGAAGGCAGCATCCCAGGGCGGGCGCGAACCCCGGCTCCCGCGGCCCGGCCCCAAGCGCCTGGCACCGTCCCGCCCCGCCGCGCACACTCGCCCTTTCGGGGGTCAGGAGGGCAGCCCGGGAGCGGAGGCTGGTGGTCCGCGGGGATATGACCACGACTCCTCGGTGTCGCTGAGAGGCCGGTGCGGCGATCCCGCTTCGCTGGCCGCTCACCTTCCACACCTGCCCGCGAGGTCGGGCTCAGAGGCTCCCTTCCAGCGCCCCACCGGGGGGGGGGGGGGGGTCGTCCGCGACGCCCAGATTAGCAGGGGGCCCTACAGTGAGCAGGGAGGCTGCGCGGAGGCGGAAAGCAGGGCTCAACCGGCAGCGGTGCCGCGCCGAGCTCGCCCCCGCGCGGGTCCCAAGCGCGGACCCGCGAGCAGGGCGCGCGCCCCCCGCCTCGCTCCCGGCCTGGGCCGGCCCCCTCCCCGGCGGCCCAGGCCCGCACTGACGCAGGACGCAGCTGGCGGCTCCCTGTTACCTGCGGGTGGGCGGTGGGGGAGGCGGCCAAGGGTCTTAGCTCCGGTCCCCTCTTCGCCCCGTGGTGACACCAACCACCCTCGCCTCCCCCGTGACGTTCTGGCCACTACACCCACAATCTTCTGAGTCTGGTCTCTCCGGCACCATAGAGACGGGTCCGGAAGCCGGAAAGAATGCCGGCCTTCAGCCCTCCAACGCCACCACGAGGGCGAGAGAACCCGGAACCGAGATAGAGCGGCCGCGCAGGTGTTTCTCAGGCCGGTGCCATCTTGCGTGTGGGCGACAGTGTAGGCCCGCGGCTCACTCTCGGCCCCTAGTCTCCTAGTTGGTCTGTGAAGATGTCTCCTCTCTTGGACTCTGACTTAAACGTGAAAGTCAGCCTTGATTTTAATTTTCAGCCTTTTAACCACTCGTCTTAACTGGATTTCCGCCCGAATCAAAAATGGCCGCTGGTGGCCTCTAACAAATAGAAAAGGGGCGGGACGGAGAAGAAATTGGTGAGGACTTTTAGGAGAGTGACGTGGCTAACCCCGCAGCTCTGATTGGCTGTGCTGCGTGGGCCGAAGTCCTAAGAATCCCCGACTAAAGCTGGCAGAGGTGGAAGTGATTCTAGCTGAAGCCCTTTGAGATAGAGAATCTGAAGTTGCGCTTAAATCAGCGGGGAGTGAAATTGGGATTATTAATAGTGTTTGTGGGCCCCTGGGCCTAGGAGAAGGAAACGGCAACCCACTCCAGTATTCTTGCCTGGAAAATCCGTGGCCCATGGGATCGGGTAGGATCAGCCACGACTGGGCTCGCGCGCGCGCACACACACGCACTATTAATACTGAGAGTTTCTACTTAATAGGGTCTTGTGAAAGTAAAGTGAATAAACGTGATATTTTTAGAACTAGTTGACTCAAACCCAGTATATTTTCTCTATTATCCTACACATGATCTTAGTCATCGCTACTATTTAATACTTTTATAACCTCACAGTTGATATAAATCATTCGATCACTTAAAACTGGCTTATTACAGTTTGGATAAGGACCCCCACAGTTACGTCACCAGATTAAGTGAGTGAAAGCAAATATCAAACCAAATTTTATCCCTTGTTCAGAAATGAATATTTATTATGAAGTAGGCACAGTTAGTATTTAATCTGTCTTATTAGCTGGTTGAAAGTGGTGCTCTCCGTCCTAGGTCAGCACTGTCCTATAGAAATAGAATTTGAGCCACAAATGTATTTTTAAGTTTTCTAGGAGCCACATCTGAAATAGTGAAAAGAGGGGCTTCCCTGGCAGTCCAGTGATTAAGACTCTGACCTCCCACTTGAGGGGCATGGGTACATGGCCAGAAGATTGTCATTTAAACATGCACCCAATAGAAAAGATTAATGAGATACTTTACATTTTTTGTACTGTCTTCAAAATTTGATATGTATCTTTTACAATTTAAACTAGCCATATATAAATGCTCAAAATTCACATGTAGGTAGTGTGATCACACTATTGGAGGGTGCAGTTATAGGTAGGTTTGACCACCAGCTTGTACTGACAGCCTGAGGAACAGACCCACAGGGCTGAGGAGGCAGGATTCCACTGTCAGCATCTGGCAACTGAGAATCTTGCAGACCGGTGGGAAAGCCAGAGCCAAGAGGGATGAAGCCTCAGATGGCATCTGCAAAGGTTGAGGACTAGAATTTTTAAACCCTGTTTTATTAGGAATGGAGAGCATTCTTTTGAGATTTCATCTCTAGTATTCATCATGATAATTATTAATCTTTAAAAACCATTTTAGGCATTCACTGTGATAATTAGCAAAATATCCAGTGTTATCAGAGATCAAGGTGACTAAATTATTTGTAGCTCCATCTCTGGAATGTGGCCTTTCTGGTATGATGCCAGCTAACTATTTCCGGAGTGTGGATTCCTAGTTACTAGAATGCTAGCTGCTTCTAGGGCATGGCTTAAACCAAATAACCCACAGAGAATATTATACTGTCCTGAAGAAATTTAAAGTCAACCACAGACATCGTGCACCCATGTTGTAAGGAAAATTGGCCTGCTTTGTAAACTGTAAACACTATACAAATGTTATAGAACTTACAAGCTTATGTTACAGACTGTGTATCCCATAGATAGTTAAGACACACCTTTCTGAGCCACATACTCTGCTAACCAGTAAGAAAAGAAGATAACAGTCATTACAGAAAAGTGTGTTCTTTGAGGGGCCCAAATTAAACTTTTTAAGTGATTGCAGTGATGGTGCTAGGAATGTTATTTTTGTTTTTTGAAGTACCTGCCCCACCACCAACAAATAAGTTTCAAACTACTGTGTGTGAAGCTGGGTATGAGCTAAATGACTCTACACGCCCATGGTTACTCTCATGCTTTCCTGACAATTGCTCTTTGTTCATTTAGTTAGTCAACAAATACTGTGTAAGTGCTCATTATATGCCAACCTCTGCTCTAGAGACTGGGGAAACATCCTGGCAAACAAAACAAGATAAATTTCCTGCTTCTACAGACCTCGCATCCTGGAGGGGCGGTGTGGGGTGGGGGTGGGGATAAGGGGAGAGAGAGACAATAAGCATATAAATGAATAATGGTAAATCCTCTGAAAAAATGAAACAAGGTAATAATAATAGCAGCTAACACATGTTGAGTATTTACTGTTACGGTTTAGTGTTAATTCACTGAAGCTGTATATCAATCCTACTTTACCCATGAGGAAACTTCCATGAGGAAACTTATGCACAGAGAGGTTGGTTAACGCTACCAAAGTCACACAGTGGTAACAGCATAGAGTAGTTTGCCTACAGATTTCATTTTCTTAACCACCATGCAATGCTGCCACCCTAATGTGATAGAGAGTAATGGTGGGCGGAGGGGGCAGACACAGGATATGCCCTCCAAAGAGGGCCTCTTTGTAAAGGTGATGTTTGATCTGAACACTGAATGACAATTGTGTGAAGACCAGTGTGTAAACCATTCCTGGCAGAGACATCAGTGGAGAAGTTCCCAAAGCAAGAGCTAGATTGATGTGTTTAAGGAACAAGAAGAGGGTCAGTGTGGCTGGAGGGGTAGGAAGTAATGGGGAGAATGTTCATGAGACCACTGGGGCTAGGGCTTGAGGGTCATGGGAAGGCATTTGGAAACCACTGAGGATTCTGTGCAAGAAAGTAACAATCTAGTCTACAGTTTTAAAAACATACTGGCAATTATGTGGAGAACGGATCATAAGACCAGAGAAATGCAACAAAGAGACAGCATAGGCAAACTTAACAATAGTCTATGTGGGGAGTAATAGTGACTTGGGCTACAGGACAAGGAACAGAGATGGAGTTAAGTGGTCAGAAATATATTATGCAATAGAGGGCTGTGGAATGAATGGTGTACCACCACCCCCACCCACCGTCACCATCTAGATGTTGAAATCCTAAACCCTAGATCATGGATTGAAGCCCTAACCCAAGTGGGGATTGGACCTTTGGTCAATAGTTTGGGTTAGATGAGGTTATGAGGGTGCGATCTTCATAATGGGATTAATGCCTTTGTAAGAAGAGACACCAGAGAGCTTACCCTCTCTCTCCGTCTCTGCCACGTGAGGACAGGGTGAGAAGGCAATAATCTGCAAGCCAGGAAGAGTGCTCTCACTAGAACTGTGATGATGTAAATGTCTGGTGGTGAAGCCCCTGCGCCTATGGTATTTTATTTTGGTGGTGTAAGTCCACTAATACACAGTGATGGTATTTGCTGGTAAGAAGAAGTGAAGTAAGGGATCAAAGCTGCTGCCTTAGCTTTGGCTCTAGCAATTAGGTGCATGGTGAAACCATAACAAGTTCACAGAACCTGTTAGATATCCAAGTGGAACTGTGAAGTCAGCTGATAAAGCTTTAAAGAGTCACTGGAAAGTTCCAGACAGGAGATAATAAAGTGGATGTCATGTTCTCATAGGTTGCAAATATCCTGATATACTGTATAATTCAGTTATACTTAACACATAAAAAAAGGAAAAAAAAAAGAATAAAACAGCTATAGCACAAGACAGTATCTGAACAAATGAATTTAGAGACTACTGCCTCTCTGTGTAAGATTCTTTCTCCACTATTCAGTGGTATGCTGGTAAATGGTTAACAGCCTATAAAGTTTATTATATCAAAAGATACATAGCACACAACTTACAAACATAATAATAAAATACATAATATTCTTTATTGTAGATCCTACACAGCCAATTGATTCTCACAATACGCTTTCATTGATTTTTGCTGTACTCTTGTGTTTATGGTCAACCTGCGGTTACAGTTGGTGAATGAGTGTAGTTCTGATATGAATGGAGGTGACTGTTTTCATTTATAGTAACAGTTAAAATGAAAACAAAACAACAAGGACATATGTTGGAACTTCATTCAATCAATGATATGAGTTATCTTCTGTGCTGAATCCAATGTAGCTTTTAACAGTAGAATATTTTCTCAATTCTTATTGCTATCACAATGTAACATCTACAGTCAAGAAGGACTTTTAAGTTTAATTTGCATTGTTATTAACACTCTTCATCACTTAATTAAGTCTAGACAGTCAACAAAATGTTACACAAAGCCCTGATTTGCAGCATTTGCTGAATTCTATAGTGTAAATACTCCCACCATGGTGAGCTTCATGGTACCAATATGACATCACTGAATGCAGAGTTGGGGAAAGATTTATTGTTTGTTTTTTAGTCACTCAGTCCTTTCTGACTCTTTGCGACCCCATGGACTGTGGAGCACACCAGGCTTCCCTGTCCATGGAACTTTACAGGCAAGAATACTGGAGTGGGTTGCTATTTCCTTCTCTGGTGATCTTTCCGACCCAGGGATTGAAACTGCCTCTCTTGTGTCTCCTGCATTGGCAGGTGAATTCTTTACCACTGTGCCACCTGTGAAGCGCCCATCGAGATAATACAAATGTAAATAACCTCTGATCATGGATAATAATAATAGCTGGTGTCCAAACTCTCAATTCCAATCCAGCAAAACTGAGGACCAGACACTAGAGTCTAGTATGCATGATCACCTGTGGCCCCCCTTCAGAGATGTGTCTGGGAAATATAAAAGCCTTTCTCATGTCATATTCTACAATCTTCACTGTGCATTGTTTTCAAAATCACAGCATCACTTTCTGACCAAAGCCCTTCTAGCTATTTCCCTATTTTGCTTTAAGACTATTTTCAACTTCATCGTATATTTCCTTCCAACATGGCAGGTTCCAAAGTTAGCAGGGGTTGGTTTGAGTACACGTTTGCTGCTCACTGTCTGGAGTAGTCTTGGGCAAATTCATTTTACTCAACCTGTGTTCTCAGCTGCAAAACAGAGATTAAAGTAGTACCTATCTGTGTCTGTGAGGGTCAGACTAGGTAAACCATGTGGAGGGCTACCACATGCCAAACATCCCATCATTGTTACATTTTGTTACTGCTCTTCTGTGGCTGGTCCAGACCCCAGGGGGCCTGACTTTATTCACCAAAGTTCTCATTTGAACCCTTGCTTTTCCATGGCCTTTGGGATGCAAAGCCCTAACCTCTGACTCATTTACCTGAGAGATCCCACCCTATCTTTTTAAACAGTTATATTTTAATGACCTCTGTCTCCTCTGCTGTGATATGAGTTCCACAAGGGAAATAATCTTTGCTTTGTTTATTGATCTAAACTTCGTTGTAGCTTGTCAACAAGCATTTACAGATGGATGGTCAATGAAAGGGTGGAAAGTTACACACTAGTCTGTTAACAGTCACTGTGCAGGGAATTTTTTTTTTTTCATGATATACCTGAATATTGTGTGCTGTATGTGATACACTGGGCCTCCCTGGTGGTTCAGATGGTAAAGAATCTGCCTGCAATGCAGGAGACCAAGGTTTGATCCCTTGGTCAGGAAGATCCCCTGGAGAAGGAAATGGCTACTCACTCCAGTATTCTTGCCTGGAGAATCCCATGGACAAAGGAGCCTGGCGGGCTACAGTCCATGGGGTTGTAAAGAGTCAGACATGACTGAGTGTGTAACACGTTATGTGATGCATTAAGCATAGATTACTTTTGTCATTTTAAAGATAACTTAATAAAGGAATAAGGAACTGAAATGTAAACTTAGATTGGAAGCTCTTGTAGTCTTACAGCTAATAAAACAGTGCTCTGTGCTGTGCTTAGCCGGTCAGTCGTGTCCCACTCTCTCTGACCCCATGGATTGTAGTCTGCCGGGTTCCTCTGTCCATGGGGACTCTCCAGGCAAGAATACTGGAGTGGGTTGTCATGGCCTCCTCCAGGAGATCTTCCCAATCCAGGGATCAAACCCGGCTCTCTCACATTGCAGGCAGATTCTTTACCATCTGAGCCACCGTGGAAGCCCAAGAATACTAGAGTGGGTAGCCTATCCCTTCTCCTGGGGTCTTCCAGACCCAGGAATTGAACACTTGCATTGCAGGTGGATTCTTTACTAGCTGAGCTGTGCCCACAGTTCATTATTATGTGGTAACAATCTTGGCGTGTGAGAACCTGAAAGAGCAGCTGTAAAACATTTGACAGGAAAGATGAAGGGATACAGCATGTGCATATTTCCTGACAAAGTGCTAAGTTATCGTTACATACTTAAGGTGAGAAATAGTAACACATGATTCTCTGCTAGTTTCTCAGTTCTCTCCAAAGCTGTGTCTATAGTTCAGGTTAAAAACTATTTGCTCTGTTACCTTTAAAACAACAAAAAGTCCCCATTCCTCTCCATAGCACTCCATGAGTCCTCCCCTGAGAATCTCAGGGCTGCCTTGTCTCCTGAGTTATACCCCTCCTCCTTGCAAACATCCACCCCAGTCTAAGTTCAAAGTCGAGGAGGAAGAAGCAAGTTTGTTAGGACAAATAGCTTCCCTGGTGGCTTGGATGGTAAAGAATCTGCCTGCAATGCATGGGACCTGGGTTTGATTCCTGGGTTGGGATGATGCCCTGAAGAAGGAAATGGCAACCCACGTCACTATTCTTCTTTCTTTCCTTTTTAAAGGATAATTGCTTTACAGAATTTTGTTGCTTTCAGTCAAACATCAACATGAATCAGCCATAGGTGTACATATGTCCCCTCCCTCTTGACCCTCCCTCCCCATCCCACCCCTCTAGGTTGATACAGAGCCCCTGTTTGAGTTCCGAGACATACTGCAAATTCTCGTTGGCTATCTGTTTTACATATGATAATAGAAGTTACTCCAGTATTCTTGCTTGGAGAATTCCATGGACAGAGGAGCCTGGGAGGCTACAGTCTATGGGGTTGCAAAGAGTTCAGCTAACACTGTCACAATCAATTAGCACAAAGGGATTCTGTGAAAAGTCTGTCCAATGGTCAGCAAACATTTTAACAAATAAATGATCCTAAAGATTTTAGATTTTGCAAGCTTTTGTCCTCACTATTGTTACTAAAGCTTATTAAAAAGTATGTTTTCTTTTACTCATAGCAGCTGTTCCCTTCACCAATGCCTTGTATTCTTTCATCTACTTCTCTGTTCCAACTTCTACTTCTTTTTTTATTTACTTCTTTTTCCCACTATATGGAGCAAATCAAATCCATCAGGCATGAAGTCTTCAGACCAGGGACATTCTGGGCAGAAAAGACCACACCAGTGTGTTCAAACAAGTGGACAGGAAAGATGCCTGTGTCACAAGAGTGCAGGGAATGGTACCACTGCTACTTCCCATCATTTTGATAAGAGACAAGAGGGGAAGAGCAAGTGTTTATTTGCCTTTCTTACCTTCTCTAGAAAATAAACCAAGAAAATGCTAAAAGAATTAGGTAGGGATGTGGTGAAATCAGAATAACCCTGAACCAAATAAAAAGGGCATTTTCATAACCAGAAGTCAGATCAAGGAAGGGAAGTTAGGGAGTACAATAAAAATGTGATCACAGTAAGAGGGTTTTGGGAGAGATTAACCAAAACAGGACATGCCATGAGATTAATGCTCAGAACAAAAGCAGGGCTGAGGTGTGAGTCTGGTCAAGTCTCAGAGCTGACTCACTGGTGCTCTGCTCCCCGTGGTAGTAAACTCATGTCTGCTCAAGTGGACGTGTGCATTTGGAAATTTACTTTTCATTCTGAGCATTTTACTGCTGCCCAAAGAGGGACTGGAGTGATGAATGGATCAAGAAAACAGGTCTATCCATAGGATGGAATATTATTCGATCATAGAAAGGAATAAAGTACAGGCTGTCTCTGACTCCTGGTGGTTTGACTTCTGATTTTTCAACTTCACAGGTGGTACTAGAGCAATATGCATTAAGTAGAAACTGTTACTTTGAATCTGAGCTTTTCCTGGGCTAGTAATGTGTGGTGTAATACCCTGTCATGCTGCTGGGCAGTGGCAGCAGCCACAGCTCTCCATCAGCCACACGACCATTCTGCACCCAGACAGCTATTCTTTTTCACATTCAGTACAGTATTCAATAAATTACATGATATATTCAACACTTTATAAAATAGGCTTTGTGTTAAATGATTTTGCCCAAAATTGTAAAGGAACTAAAGAGCCTCTTGCTGAGGGTGAAAGAAGACAGTGAAAAAGCTGGCTTAAAACTCAACATAAAAAAAATAAGACCATGGCATCTGGTCCCATCACTTCATGGCAAATAGAAAGGGAAAAAGTGGAAGCAGTGACAGATTTTATTTTCTTGGGCTCCCTCCCAAATCACTGTGGATGGTGACTACAGTCGTGAAATTAAAAGACGCTTGCTCTTTGGAAGGAAAGCTATGACAAACCTAGATAGCATATTTAAAAGAAGAGATATCACTTTGCCAACAAAAGTCCATGTAGTCAAATGGACTATGGTTTTTTCCAGTAGCCACGTACAGATGTGAGAGCTGGACCATAAAGAAGGCCGAGCGCTGAAGAACTGATGCTTTCAAATTGTGGCACTGGAGAAGACTCAGTTATCAATAAAAAAAGTCCATGTAATGTGTGTGACTCTGAAGGACCATGGATGTCATCTTCACCAAGTAGTTCAGCATTTGTAACAAAAGGGAACTCTGTATTAACTGGTGCCTTGTGTCATATTCTATGTTACTAAAAGTCAAGTGTAAGAAAAATTAAGTGGGGTTAGTCATAAAGACAACATCCTAATGTTAAAAAACCAAACAAGCAGTCAGATTTAACTTCAATGAGATAAGATTGACAGGTTCCGCTTCCATTTCCAAAGTATTTCACTGCATTTCTGATTTGTGTGCAGGTTTGAGCTCCCTCTCCAAAAAACATGGGTCTCCTTTCCAAAATCACAGAATTAAGATGGATTCCTTCAGCCCAGGATTGGAAGTCAATGAGCTGTGAAAGTTAAGATCACTGAGAAGTTTCAGCTCTTCCTTAACTTGCCCTCCTAGAGTCTAGACCTTATTGGGTAGCTTCACATCCCATCTGGTGCAAACAGTAACATTCATGCTCTGTGGGGTTCAACTTCACAGTCATGCCCTATCCCAGTGCTGATGACAGTGCAGCTCAAGCAGACTTGAGACACTGGTAAATTGTGGATAAGGAGAAAAAGAGCTGACTTCATAAGAGGTGTTTATTCTGCTTTGAAGTAGCGGTTACAACATCTAGATTCCAGATTCACTTACTTCAGTTCCCCAAACCACCAACCCAGCAAGATTAAGATGCCTGGAACAGGAAAGAGTAGCGGCAATCAAGTATGTGCTAAACATTTCTTCTCAGGGTGGGAGGTGGGAGGCAGGTTCAAGAGGGAAGGGACATGCATGTATCTACGGCTGATTCATATTGATTTGTGATAGAAACCAACAGAATATTGTAAATTATCCTTCAATTAAAAATAAATTTAAAAAAAACAAAATTTCTTCTCACAAGTTAATTAACTGCAGGGTTTCTATATTGAGCTGTCATGAGGATCAAGCACAAGTATTTCTTTTTACTGCAAAGTCCCATGTGTGGGAACTCTGGTCATCAAATGTTTCTAAATGGCCTTGAGAGATCAAGATCTGTAGGAACTGATAATTTTGCTGAGAAACAAATTAAAGTATTTGCTCTACAGAGTGATACGTTATTCTTCTCGATTGTTCTTCATTTAGGTAATAACTCATGAACTCACAGTCTTCCTGTACTTGTGTGGTGGTACATGTGAAGAGAAAGTGAAAGGTTTAAAGAAAGCTTAGTACCTGTGATTTGAAACATTTGTATAGGCTTTGATATATATATTGTTCTCTATATAATTTACATCAATTATCAATTGCTATGTAACAAATCATCACAAGTTTAGTAGCTTCAAACAGCAACTTTTTTCCTTTTTGCTCACAAATCTGTAAGGGTTTGGGCAGGGTTTGGCAGGGCAGATCATCTTGGTTCATGTGGTGTCCTCTGTGGGGATTTGAGGGTGGGGAGGACTGGAATCTTCTGAAGGCTTATTTACCCCTAGCTGTTAATCCCGCCCATCTACAGGGACCTCAGGTGGGACCATCTCCATATGGCTGGGCTCCCTCACAGCATGGCAGCTAGTTCCCAGAAAACAAGGCAGAAGTGAAAGTGTTCTTATGACTTGGTCTAGGATGTCATGTGGCATCATTTCAGCTTAACCCTATCGGTTGAAAATCTGGTTCAAGGAGAAGGGACGTGGACTCATTACCAGATGGGAGGAGTACCAATTTCACTCTGAGATGAGCAGGGTGGATGGGGTCTGCTGGGGTGGTCATCATGGGAAACACGATCGGCCACAGCAACCCCAAACTGAGAGGCGTGAAACAACATCAGTTGATCATTTTCAGGTTTTAGGTTGACTGTTTGGTCCTTCTGGTCTCACTGAGGTAACAGAGTATGGGTGATATGTCAGCGGGACTGGGGTCACCGCAGCTGAGACAGACTGGACGTCTGGGCCTCTCTAGGTCTTTTCACAGCATGTCCGGCTCAGGGAGCGTTCTACAAGGCCAAGGACAGGAGCTACAAGCCTTCTTGAGGTGCAGACCCCAGAACTCACATATCGTTTCCGCCACATTTAACTGGCCAGAGCAAGATACAAAGTGAGCCCAAATTCAAGAGGTGAAGAAGCAGAGTCCATCTCATGATGAGGAGAGCAGAAGAATACCATGGACATCTTTTTCAACCAGTACACATGGCCTTATGGCCACAATTGTTTATATTCTGTCCACATGCAGAATATGCTCAATTCCCACCCCCACCCCCGACAAGTCATCTACCATTACAGCCTCAGGCTCTGGATTGATGTGCAGGCGCCTCTCATCAAAATCATATTTGGGCGAGAATGAGGCTCCTGGGTGTGGTTTTCAGGTTCTCCTCTGTTACAGCTTGTTTTGGTTCAGAGACTTGTGCACTGAAAGAAGTTACTCGACACCCCGCCCTGCTACCCCCACTCAGCATGCAATGATGAGACAAGGATGGGACAACCGCAAAGGACAATCCTAGTCAAAAAGGGGAGCCGTGGGAGCTGCTGGTTCACGGCAAACCTGAAATCCTGCCGGGCATGTTTAATCATT